GTATGTCCTTGATCTAGCTACCCACATTCTACTCCTGTAGTTTTAAGGTAATGTTAAACTGGTGACAATGGTTGCTGCAGACACAACACAGTCATATTAAAAAATACTACTAAAACTCAATGGAAAAACACAGCAACAGTTTTAAAATCTATTGACAAGCACAAACATAATCCCTTAGGACTTTACGAAAAGGGTTCATAAAAGACTGTTGTCATAAAGTGCTTGTTCTCCTACCGCTATCTCTGTGGGTAGTTTGACAAAACTCTTTCCTTCAAGCCGGATTTGAACCAGCGACCTAAGGATAACCTCTATTGCTCTCTACAGTCCTCCGCTCTACCAACTGAGCTATCGAAGGCAGAGGGAAGGCACGCCCTCAGAAGTAAGCCCGATCTACACAACATGCGTAGAAGAAACTTTTGCAGGATACCTGTTCCGGAACATCTTGCCAAATTGGGCCCCTACGTTGACAGACCTGAGGTGGCCAACTATAGACTTCGCCACAGTTTTCCTTTAATATTTTAGCCCTCATTCATATAAACTACTTTATCTGTGTGTCCTCTGTTCCATGACAAACTGAAGCATTTCTAGGCAGTCTGCTCATTCCTACAATGTCCGTTGCACTATATAATCACACAGTCCCCCCCTTAGTCTGTCAAATGGACAGATCAAGTATATCTGTGAACAAGCGAAATGCATAATTTTCTGGAAAGCAGGTCATCCAGAGAGGAGGTGGAACACAAAGAGGTCAACAAGGATCTGCCAAATTTAACAACATGGGGCATAGACAGATGCGACACGCATTGATTGAGAACTCCGGTAGGGCAACCATTTGCAAGGGATGCATAAAAGTACAAATACTAAACTTCGCCACAGTTGTCCTTTAAGAAAAAAGATTTTGTGAGAACCATCACTGCATGAAAAGTGAGATTTTCGTCCCCGTAAACTCCCGCAGATCTGCCTGATTTTCGTCAGTTTCCGACAATTTGCAACCCGTGCTTGTCCGCGTTTGTCGTGCCACAAATTGTCGAAAACGTACCGTGACGTATGTGGAGAGCGATCAGCTGTACTAATGGCCCTAATTAGCATATGAATGCAGCAAACCCGCGCGGCTGGCCAGGTCTGGCTTGAATAACCTTCTCAGTATTGGCTGAAACCACTATTCTCAAACAAATGAAATCGCTCGTGATTGGCAGCAAAACCACACGTGGCCACGCCAGGCTTTAATTTTCTTACTGAGTATTGGACGGAACCACTTCTTTTTAAACAAGTAAAGTCGCTCGTGATTGGTTGGCATATATATATATTTACATATATATATTTATTCATATATATATATTTATTCATTCATATATATATATATATATATATATATATATATATATATATATATATATATATATATATATATATATATATATATATATATATATATATATATTCATATATTTATTCATTCATATGCTGTGTATTTATGTTATCCTACACTACTACACAATTATTAGGCTACCATCAAGGACATGAATGAATTTATACAGGAAATGAACATTTGCAGGAAGCTGTTTATGCAAAGAAAGAGCTTTATTGAAACACACACAACTATATACAACGCGTATCCAAACACATGCGTTTCTAAAAATTAAAAGTCCGTGAACGGTCCGTTTGCTTCCTCTGGGTTGGAGGTAACTGGCAGCATTCCCTCCGAGGCAGGTCCGATGTGCAGACGCCTACTGTGCGTGGCCCTGTTCTTCGGCATCGCTTCTAACCGGGACTGCAGCTTAACACAGAGTTCAGTGAGATCCGGCCTACGAAATGGCGGCGACCGTACAATCCATCCAGAGACACCGCCGAGGAAGGCGGACTTCCAGAGTTCCACTTCCTCATCTGCTAGCACACTCTGCCTCGCTTTCAGCAGCTGGAAAAAAAAAAACAATGAATCAGCGCACTGCGTATGGACACAACACATCTATCAATGCACCTGAAAAATAGTCACCAAATAAAGTCTTACCCTCTTTCTTCTGGCCCGACTCTGAGCAGATAGCCTCCGCACGCAGCGTGTGGCTGGCAGCGTATATCTGAAGCTCCTGCATACCGTCTGAAAATACGTCTTACAGGCAGCTGGAAAACAATTAAATGAGAGTGGTATAAATAAAAAATCAAACGCAAGTCACAGTAACAAGGAAGGAGAAAACATTAAAACAAGTCACTTACACACAATGTCGTCTTTATCAACATCGTGCAAATCTGGACTTGCCGAGATGGCTCCGAGCAAATAGGAGGTCTGTGAAAACAAAATGTAAAGCTATGATCGGTATCCATTACCTTTTACCGCAGAATGAAAGCATATTCTTTAAATCTTACCCTTGCTCCGGTTCATAGCGCCTGCAATTAGTCTCCGAGTTGTTAAGACGGCATACTGCTTCCTGTAATCACAAAAAATACACTTTAATAAAGCTTGTTCTTGCAAGGCTAGGCTAGATAGGCTAATAGCTAGGCTGCTATTAGCCGGTAGCTTAGGCTAGGCTGCTTTTAGCTTAGCAGGCAGTAATCGAACATATATTTACCGCTAGCATCTCTTCTTTGAGTTCGTCTTGTTCGATGCAGAGTCGCCATCGCGTCCAAGAGGAGTTTTACCCCGAAATCCAGAAGCTCCAGACCGCCTGCACAAAGCAAAGCAGCATCCTCCATTGTGGATCCAGACCCCGCCGCTCTAAGTTTCTTGGAGATCGTACAGAGCATGCGCGAGATGAACCAGAGTTTCCGCGGATCAATAAAAATAATTAAAAAATCATTCTTTTTTTTTTTTTTTTTTTAATCAAGGCCTTAATTGGCACTAAAATTATTTAAATATGTTTATCGAAGTATTTATAATTCTTTAATAAAAAATGCTTATAAAAACAATTTCGTCAGATATATTATATCGCTCCAGGCGGAGAAAAAGCTAGAGGATATATACGTATATATGTGTGTGTGTGTGTGTGTTTACATACATGCAGGAGTCATGGAGCTCTGCTTACAGCTCCTTCATATTTCATGTACACTAATAACTTGTGTTCACGGTTCTTGTTGATGGCATTAAAATCATTTCTAATAGCATTTAAATAGCATTAAATTAGAGTCACTCATTTCTGTATGAACCCTGTGAGCGCTTAATTTAATATGACATATTTCTCTGACCGTGACTGAGTGGATGTGCTCTCTTCATCCTCTGACATGGGAGCTGGCTTGGAGCTCGTCTGCCTGGCTGTGTGTTTCCTGGACGGGGCCGCCTTTTACAGCTGCTTTTTGTATCTCTGCTTCTGTCTCCTTGAGCCCCAGTCGGCCTCGGGAGATGGCCGCTCACACTGAGCCTGGTTCTGCTGGAGGTTTCTTCCTGTTAAAAGGGAGTTTTTCCTCTCCACTGTCGCTACAAGCATGCTTAGTGTGAGGGATTGTATTTGAGTCAATGAGTCAATGCAATCAACTGGTTTTCCTTAGACAGAAAACTTTGTATCAATTTGACTGTATGATCTGGTTGAACTGTAAAGTACCTTGAGATGACATGTGTTGTGAATTTGGCGCTATATAAATAAACTGAATTGAAAACTGAATTGAATTAAAAAAATCCCACCATCATCCAGCATATGTTCAGTTTCTGCCCAAATATATATATATATATTTTTGTAGATTTTTGTAACGGGGATAAGGATAATTCAAAACTGCTTTTTTTTAAATGAACTTGTTCACTACTTCCAAACTCAGCATCTCTTTTCATTCCTGTAATAAGAAGTTTCTTTTGAATGGATTTCATTAAAGTTTAAGTCCCTCGGTGTAAAATAAATATGTTGATGGAGATGAGAAATCTGCTTCCTCGTTGGTGAATAACCAATAGTTTGGATCCAATCATTTAAATAAACGGTGTTAGTTTTTTTTTTTTTTTTTATATATATATATATAAGAATTGTGCTATAATTTCTAGTCACCGATCTGTTGCTGCTATATTTTAATTTGACGAACCGGAATTTGTCGATGTTCTTTTTCCTGTTTGGTGCAATTGCAATTGCGGATCTTGACCTGGCCGGACCTTATGACCACAGTGTACCAATCTTCTGATGGCTACTTCCAACAGGATAATGCGCCATGTTATAAAGTGAATCATCTCAGACTCATTTCTTGAAACTTTTCCACTTAAGTAATTGTGAATTGAGCATATTGACAGACAACATTTTATTTTTTATCTTAAATGCAAATTTTTTTTAAAATAATTACTGCTCTAAATGTATTGCTCTGTCGGCTAAAGATCTGTTTTGGTCTCTATACTTTAATTAAATAAATCAATTCAAGCTAAAATGTGAGAGGCTATACTAAGCCTGATCTCTTTGTATCAGAGATTTTCTTCCTCAGAAAGATGTCACTTGGGGTAAAACCCCCCCTGCAACCCTGGTTTGCATTTGTATAGCTCACAGCATGTTCATTTACATGTTAAAGCCTCCCCTAGAATTCCATGGGGGGGAGGCATGGGGGGAACACTGCCTAAGAAATTCCACGTCAATTTCTGACAATTTACGGGAGTTTTCGACGAAGCCTGCAAATTGCCGTAAACTGCCGCTAACCTGAAGTTCCACGACAATCTACAGTGCCGTATATTGACGAAAATCCCACTTTTCATGCAGTGCATCAGACACTCCCCAAATATAGCTTTTTGAATCAAAAAGCAAATGGATTACTGCTTTTTTTTTTTAAGTTTCTTATTTAGTTTTCTTTTTTTTTTTTGACTAACAGAGCATTAACATAAACAGTCATGTAGTTGAGTTGAATTCTTTTATTAAATTCACTCAAGTAAAATTCAGATTCGGTAAACTACTTATTAAAGGACAAAGTACAGTTGTAAAACCTATTCAAGTGTTCAGTTGAAAGTACAACCGTGTTCCCTCCCCCTGGTTTACAAGCATAATTATGGGTGGAACCAGTGACGTTTCCTGATAAAACCTGATACATTTGAGCTCAAACAAGTTTCTGTTATACAGAAGAGAAACTTAAACAGGTGATAGTGAGAGCTGAAATGGAGCAGAGAATAGTCCGACTAGACCAAGGTAACTTCTCCTGCTCCATTTGTTTGGATCTATTGAAGGATCCAGTGACTATTCCCTGCGGACACAGCTACTGTATGAACTGTATTAAAGACCACTGGGATGGAAAAGATCAGGGGAGTATCTGCAGCTGCCCTCAGTGCAGGAAAGAGTTCCAACCAAAGCCTGACTTGGAAAAAAGTGTCATATTAGCTGAGTTAGTTAAGGATATACAAAAGAGTGGACTCCAAGTTGTTTCCGCTGATCACTGCTATGCTGGACCTGAAGATGTGGCCTGTGATGTCTGCACTGGTAGGAAGAGGAAAGCTGTCAAGTCCTGCTTATCCTGCCCTGCTTCCTACTGCAGGGATCACCTCCAACCTCACTATGATGCTCCACCATTAAAGAGACACAAACTAACGAAACCTTCAGAAGAACTTCAGCAAAACATCTGCTCTCGTCATGATGAGGTGATGAAGATCTTCTGTCGTACTGATCAGCAGTGTATCTGTTATCTCTGCACCATGGATGAACATAAAGGCCATGAAACAGTCCCAGCTGCAGCAGAAAGGACTGAGAAGCAGAAGGAGCTCCAGGAGAGACGACAACAAATCCAGCAGAGAATCCAGGAGCAGGAGGAAGATGTGAAGCTGCTTCAACAGGAGGTGGAGGCCATCAATGGCTCTGCTGATAAAGCAGTGGAGGACAGTGAGAAGATCTTCACTGATCTGATCCGTCTCCTCCAGAAAAGAAGCTCTGATGTGAAGCAGCAGATCAGATCCCAGCAGGAAACTGAAGTGAGTCGAGTCAAAGAGCTTCAGAAGAAGCTGGAGCAGGAGATCACTGAGCTGAAGAGGAAAGATGCTGAGCTGGAGAAGCTCTCAATCACAGAGGATCACAACCAGTTTCTCCAGAACTACCCCTCACTGTCAGCACTCAGTGAGTCTACACACTCATCCAGCATCAATATTCGTCCTCTGAGATACTTTGAGGATGTGACAGCAGCTGTGTCAGAGCTCAGAGAGAAACTACAGGACATCCTGAGGGACACATGGACAAACATCTCAGTGGCAATAACTGATGTGGACGTTCTACTGTCAGAACCAAAATCAGAACCAGAAATCAGAGCTGGATTCTTGAAATATGCTAAAGAAATCACAATAGATCCAGACAGAGCAAGCAGAAATCTATTTTTATCTGAGGGGAACAGAAAAGCAACATTTGTGATCAGACAACAGCTACCTTCCTCTCATCCAAGTGCAGTTCCTGTTTATTTTCAGGCTCTGAGTAGACAGCGTCTGGCTGGACGCTGTTACTGGGAGGTGGAGTGGAGAGGAAGTGCTATACGGTTAGGAGTATCATCCAATAACAGCTCAGATGAGTTTTTATTTGGCTCAAACAGTCATTCCTGGGCATTGCGTTGTGGTGAAAATAGTTGTAAATTTATCCACAATGATGTGAGATGTCCCATATCAAGTCCAGTTTCCTCCAGAATAGGAGTGTATCTGGATCACAGAGCAGGTATTCTGTCTTTCTACAGCGTCTCTGAAACACTGACTCTCCTCCACAGAGTCCACACCACATTCACTCAGCCTCTATATGCTGGAGTTACTGTGTATCGTGGATCCTCTGTGAAGTTCCTTAAACTTAATGAGTTTTAACTTATTTGAGGTTCACTTGATAAAACTGTGTTTTAGTTCTCTTCTGTCATTTCTTTTGTTTTATTATTGAAAGCTTGTGTGCTGCACATTATTTTCAGGACATCTCAGCATGTACAAAAATTACGTTTCTGTAATTCCTGCAAAAACTGACCTGCTGTGAAAATGTGTTTTAATAAATAAAAAACTGTATAAAGTACTAAAAACTGACCAGAGATAGAACATCACCCAGGAAAATGTTCAGGTTGAAATGACGAAATGATTTCATGAATAAGAAATAATATAATAATGTAAATACTCCGTATAAATTCCATGTGACTTGCAATCTACATCTGCTCACCATTTTTGTGTTTAATCTGGTTCTGTCTCCTTTTATCAGCAACATTAACTCAGTACTGGTGTATGAATGTTAAATAAACTAATGTATTTCTATTTTATGTCACTAACTCTACTTTGTTCAGCATTTTGGTAACAACCTGCTGTTTTTAGACATGCTTCCTAAATAAATTGAACTTGACTTAACATCATTATGTCTTTTGAACCTAAAAGATTGATATTAGTTAAGAATAATTCTATTCAATTCAGTTTATTTATTTAGTGGCAATTCACAAGACATGTCATCTCAAGGCACTTTTAGAGAGACAATTCAACTAGATCATAGAGTCGGATTGTTTCAAAGTTTTCTATCTAAGCCAGCTAATTTCATCGACTCATACACTCAACAGCAATACCTCACATTGAGCATGCTTGTAGCGACAGTGGAGAGGAAAACTCCCTTTTAACAGGAAGAAACCTGAAGCAGAACCAGGCTTAGTGTGAGCGGCCATCTGTAACTGGGGTTCAAGAATACAGAAGCAGACATGCAGAAAGAAGCAGAGATACAAAAGGCAACTGTCAACCAGCTCCACAAGCAGCCCCATCCATGAAACACATAGCCAGGCATATAAGCTCCGGGCCAGCTCCCATGTCAGAGGATCAAAGAGAACACATCCAGTTACAGTCAGAGGAAAACGACTACACTGAAAAACAGGCCAAGCTCCCACATCTATAAACAAAGGTGTTGATGGCAGGAGCAGAGCTGATATTTCTCTCCAGGATGGAGTCACACCAAAACAGGAACAGACCTGATGAGCAGAGAGATTCATAAGGTTAAAGATTGAACTAACAAATATTGCAGAATGGAGAATAGAATATAAATCGAATGAAATGGAAGATGAAAAGCGGTCCCTATGTCCTCCAGTAGTCTAAGCCTATATCAGCGTAACTATAGAGATGCTAGCATAACCTGAGCCACTCTAACTATAAGCTTTATCAAAAAAAAGTTTTCCATGCTGATCACAACTAACAGAAAACATAACGCATACATTTATGTTTTCTTGGTAAGGCCAGAGTTTCATGAGGCCCTTCTTGCTAATAAAGCTAGGCACATATTTATAAATTGGTGCTGTTTGAATCAATTTATGGTTGTGAATATAATATACATTGAACAAATTGAGCATGTATGTTTCTCCAATCTAATTAGATTGAAGACTACTAGATTACAGTGAAAACTCCTAAATGACTGCAGAGACAAACTCTCCTCTATAAAACCAAAAAACTCATTAATAAAAGGGAAAGCATTTGTATTTGTCATCTTTATTTGTTATAAACTGTTGCTGTATTTTTTCTCAGTTTTTGTTTAATATACTAACTTTAAAAAGTAAAAGTAGGACATTCCACTCGATAGGATCACTGCTGCCACCTTCTGGTTTAGAATAGAACTGCTTGTTAGATAGATTATGAATTACATTCACATAGGAAAAAAATTACCTGCTGGGGATTGCCAATGATCGACCATTGGTGGCCCCCCTACGGTCACATTTTGTCACTTACATTGGAGAAAGGCAGCTTAGCCCGATATCATAGCCTTAAAAACATTTTGTGGCTTTAGCTGTTTTCATGTTCAAGTAATAAGTAAAGAAGGACCCCAGAACACTGCCTCACCTCACCTCTGTTGTCCGACCAATCCTTCCCCATACTGGGATATTTTCGGTCCTGGTCAGACAGAAGAACTGCTAAAAGGGAGCTCCATCCATATATAGCTTCCTTCAGCAATGAAGCGGTGGAAACATCACCCGTCATGCGAACTGTTTGTTATGTCAGGCAAACAAGAGCACCCGATCATCAGAATCAAATTTATTGCCAAGTAGGTTTGCACTTACAAGGAATCTAACTTGATTTTGACAAAATAGATATATATACAGAATGCAGAATCTATAGCTATACACAATATTAAAAATACAATGTACTATATACTATATATAAAATATAGCTATATACTGTATACACAGTACACAGTGTGTTCATGTAACACAGGAAGTCTGAAGATGCTACATTGGTGTAGCTTCTAGGTCCTAAACAGGGGAGGGAGAGAGGCAGTGTCATTGGGATCTGAGCCTTGTTGATAAGGCTGGTAGCGGATAGGAAGCAACTGTTCTTGTGGCCTGAGGTTGTGGTCCTGATGAACCACAGGCTCCCGCCAAAGGGAAACAGTTTGTGGCTTGGGAGCGAGGAATCAGCCACAATCTTCTGCACGTTTCAGAGGCGTACAGATCCTGGAGCCATGTCTCCTTCCGCGGCGGAAGGAGACATGGCTGTTGTTGGGCTCGCTGTCTGAATGACGGCGCGCACTGATACGAACAGAGAGAAAATAGGACCAATTGATAACGACGTGTGACTTTTTCCACTACAATCTTTTTGGGATGCAAAAATATCGCTCTTTTGAACACATAATGTTTTGGGAAGAGAAAAGTTTTATTTCGCTGTTCCTAAAAACCTGCCGGACTACTTTTGGCTTGACCAAAACTGGACGAGAACTCTGCTCACAGGACGCTGCCAGGGGTAAGTCAGTGTGATTGCATGCCGCTGGTGATAGGGATGCCATACAAATTCATGTCAAAAATACCGAACTATCGCTTTAAGTTTGTCAGATATATCGGTAGCAGTGTCCCCTGAAACCTGAGAAAAACAGATTTTTTCTTTTTATTTTAATTATTTATCTTCTGATATATCAGTTTCTGTCCACTTATTATGTTTCTTATTTACGTTTTTTTTTTCTTTCATTTGTCTATTTACTTATTTTTTTATTCTGTGTGGGTGTATATATGTGGGTATATTGGGGTTTGTTCTAGCCCAGTTTACATGTTAAAGGTACATTTTATAATTAAATAACTATTTATCTGTCTTTACATTGTACCACATGTTAAAGCATAAATAAACATTGGAGGAAAAAAAGATATTAAATAAAAAAAATACATTAATAAAAGAGTATATTTAGTATATTTATTATATTTATTTATTGACTTGAAAGTAGAAGTTAGTTGCATTTTTTATTTCCAACCAACAGTTTTTGTTGATTTCTGTTAACACTGATACCAGTGTGAGTCATTTGTTTAGCCTAATGCGATTTGCATAGGGCTTGAACTGAGCTAGAGACAGTCCTGCTTTTACTGAACCTCCCTGGACAACACAATTATCACAGCTTAAAATCTCAACTGCTCTACATTTTTATTGTATGATTAACCTTGCAACTATTTGTATAGAAATGCATTACTACTTTCATTTTTACTGCGCCACAGCAGTCTCTGGTAGAGTGTAAATTGGTAACACCAGACCTTGTATTTACCCGGGAGTTGGCTTTGGTCAATTCTCTTCAGCCTATCAGAGAGCTGCTTCATAACGGTTTTCCCCATTTTCTTGTCAGAAAGCTCGGCAGTGTACTGCCTCCCAAGGCTTTTGATTGGTTACTCTGCGAGGAGTGGGATCTTCTCTCCCCCGAAGACGAAGATGGTGTTGTCATTACGGACTCCTCTCCTGAGTGACAGGCTACGGAATTTAGAGGGCTTGATCTTTATCCTTGCTCATGACATCAGCTCATCAATCCTCCGCAGCAGTCTTGCTGTACATGCTGCTGTCTGAAGGAGGGTGGTGACGTCGTCCATGTAGCTCCTTAGCGGGGGAAGCCTCTGGCCAGTTGGCAGTTTGATTCCTCCTGCCATTTGCCTTGCACCGATGAGGATTATTTCAAACGCTGCTACAAACTGTGTAGGTGAAATGGCACACCCCATCGCTATTCCGACTTCAAGCCGCTAGCATCCAGTAGTGAAGTCCAGGGCAGAGAAGCACATCTGCAGGTTGTTAAAATAGCTTAATACCATGCTTCTGATGCATGTTGAAGAATTCCATGGCGTAGATGATCAGCTGGTGTGGGACAGATCCATATGCTTTGGCCAGGTCAAACCAGATGATGTGCAAGTCAGTCTTGTCCCGCTTAGCCCTCTGGATCTGGTCCCAGATCACTTTCTCCAATTTATTTTTTCATTTCTGCTTTGAAATCTCCATTACCAGGGGAGTGAAATTGGCTCTTCCTGTTGTCTGTTGTCATGGTGATTGTCGAATCGGGGCTCCACTAATAAAGGCTTTTCATACTTGTTACGCACGTGCTCAACTCTGAGTGGACCTACTTAGAGTTGATTAAACTAACTCACAGCCACTTAACTGGAATTAGCTCACGGGTGAAAAGTGCCCTCCCAACAGTTATTCTCACGGTTCTTAAATAGTAAGTCTTTTGACATGTTTATTCATTGAAATACAGATACATTCTCAATAGTAACTATTTATTGGTGTCTCTATAATTTCTTTCCTAAATGCACAACATCGATCTATTTTTGGTCAGCACATGACGGTGAGTCATATTCAACTGATGGTTTCTGTTTTTTTGTGGTTTCAGGCCCTCAGAACATACCTGTTGGGACTTGTAAAGAAACAAACAGCAAACAAATATAGTTCATTAAAAATGTTTCCTGGTTACGCTCACTGTTTAGATTGCAATATATTTATAATTATAAATTTAATTTTGGTTGATTGATATGAAATAGAGCAGTAATTTTAGCCAGACAAATTTCAGGTTGAATGTGTTTTGAGTTGGGCTGTTTACAAGGGAGTTTGTTACCTTGCACCCCCCCACCCCCCTCACAGTCATTGTGTAGTTACTAGTCCTTTATTCCTTAAATGGAGTACGCTAACAGGTGAAGAGTGCCATCCCAGCAGTTATTCTCACGGTTCTATGATAGTAAGTCTTTTGACATATTTATTGATTGAAATACAGATTAATTCTCAATATTAACTATTTATTGGTCTCTATCAATTTATATTTAGTCAGCACATGAAGGTGAGTCATATTCAAATGATGGTTTCTGGTTTTTTTGTGGTTTCAGGCCCTCGAAACATACCTGTTGGGACTTGTAAAGAAACAAACAGCAAACAAATATAGTTAATTAAATATGTTTCCTGGTTACGCTCACTGTTTAGATTGACAGTGGGTGTAACTGGTAACTTTGGCTGCAGTGACGTGTTGAAGCCAGTTTCGGTAATGAGTATATAAAACTAGCAAATCTCTATTACTGACAGATAAAATGGCTAAGAGAAGAGATCACTGCTATGCTGGACCTGAAGATGTGGACTGTGATGTCTGCACTGGGAGGAAAAGGAAAGCTGTTAAGTCCTGTTTATCCTGCCCTGCTTCCTACTGTAGGGATCACTTACAACCTCACTATGATGCTTCACCATTAAAGAAGCACAAACTGGTGGAGCCCTCTAGGAATCTGCAGGAAAACATCTGCTCTCATCATGATGAGCCGATGAAGATCTTCTGTCGTACTGATCAGCAGTGTATCTGTTATCTCTGCACCATGGATCAACATAAAGGCCATGAAACAGTCCCAGCTGCAGCAGAAAGGACTGAGAAGCAGAAGGAGCTCCAGGAGAGACGACAACAAATCCAGCAGAGAATCCAGGACCAGGAGAAAGATGTGAAGCTGCTTCAACAGGAGGTGGAGGCCATCAATGGCTCTGCTGATAAAGCAGTGGAGGACAGTGAGAAGATCTTCACTGATCTGATCTGTCAGATCGAGAAAAGAAGCTCTGATGTGAAGCAGCAGATCAGATCCCAGCAGGAAACTGAAGTGAGTCGAGTCAAAGAGCTTCAGGAGAAGCTGGAGCAGGAGATCACTGAGCTGAAGAGGAAAGATGCTGAGCTGGAGAAGCTCTCAATCACAGAGGATCACAACCAGTTTCTCCAGAACTACCCCTCACTGTCAGCACTCAGTGAGTCTACACACTCATCCAGCATCAATATTCGTCCTCTGAGATACTTTGAGGATGTGACAGCAGCTGTGTCAGAGCTCAGAGAGAAACTGCGGGACATCCTGAGAGACACAGGGACAAACATCTCAGTGGCAGTATCTGATGTGGATGTTTTACTGTCAGAACAAGAACCAAAGACCAGACCTGGATTCCTAAAATATTCACAAAAAATAACTTTGGATCCAAACACAGCACATAGGAAGTTGTTATTATCTGAAAGAAACAAAAAGGTAATGTTAATGGAGCAGCTTCAGTCTTATCCTGATCATCCAGACAGATTTACTGATCAGTATCAGGTCCTGAGTAGAGAGAGTCTGACTGGACGTTGTTACTGGGAGGTGGAGTGGAGAGGAATAGTGTGTGTAGCAGTTTCAGCCAAGATTAGCAAGAGTACAAAGAAATCACAGGCAAGTTTCTTCGGATTCAATGACAAATCCTGGTCTTTACGCTGTGATATAAACAGTAACATGTTGTATCACAGAGGGATTCAAACTAATGCTCCAGGTTCCTCCAGAATAGGAGTATATCTGGATCACAGAGCAGGTATTCTGTCTTTCTACAGCATCTCTGAAACCATGACTCTCCTCCATAGAGTCCAGACTACATTCACTCAGCCTCTATATGCTGGGGTTCGGCTTGGATCTTCCCCAGTTAATGGGTCACCAAACGGATCCTCTGCTGAGTTTGTTGAACTGAAATAGTCATTGACAAACTGATTTAACAGGCGTCTTTACCAGAGTTTATTTTTTCTTTGTTTTAAGCATATTTACAGTATGTATGGATTCAATTATTATCTTCAAATCTCAACACATTACAATTTTTTATTTTGACAATATCGTTAAAATGTGTAACATCCAACAAACTGTGGCTTTACATGTTTTGTTAGTTGGAAACCATTGGAAACTGTAGAAACCCTGAAAATCTGTTCAGGATATGATTGAATTGTGATGTTGGCTTCATCTCCTATACTCAGCAAATATCTTTAATGTAATTTTTTGTGTTGCAAAGTTGTATTTCTTTTAAATTTCTGCTCTTAGTTTTAAACTGATCCTTTGTTAGAAATATTGAATTTATACTACTTTTGTGTTTAATGGGTTGTGTACTAATGAACTAATATGATGTATAATGTTTGATTCATCTTTTATTAACTCTTACTTAAGATCGTTCCAGATAAAGGTCATGCAACGGACGGGTTGTGAAGGAGGCCTGAACATCCTCTATCACATGCTGGGTTGTAAAAGAGGCCTGAATAGCCTCTATCACATGTTTCTTCTAAACATGTGTTCTTGGAACAATTTAATTCTAAAACAACCACATGCTTTGTTTTAACATATGTGCTGAGGTTTAAAGTAAGATCCTTTTGTTTCCCTTCCCCTTAGTTAAACCTCATCTGGTGTAATTAGGGACATCCCCTTTTCTTCAATAAATAGCGAGGAGAAAGCTGATGACTGCAGAGTGGGGTGGAGATTGTAAACTCTGCAGTCTCTTCCTACTCTCCTTGTGAGTAACTAAATTAATTGTCTCTGTGCGCTCTTTCTTTCCCTGTATGTATGTATGATGTTTTAGGTGCTTAGACCTGACATCCTTAAATCTCTTCTCTGAATGTTAGTGACGCCCTCTAGTGTCTTTTTCTTTTTCACCATGAACATAACTGCCTCTTTTCTTTAACCAATCACTTTACCTTTACCTTCATGGTACTTCACTTTTGCTGTTATTTACTTAGTTCAGCTATTTTTTCTTCTTTATCTTGACTGTGTATGAACAGTTCTTTATAAATAAAGTTCAGTTACTTTAACAATGCTTTTGTGTGTCTCATGAAAGAAATTTTCCTTCTGTCCTCTGTTGATCGCCATGGTAATTAATCTGGAGAACCAGCCATGTTTGCTGCAATTCCATCTGTAGTTTAATTATAGAATTTCCTAAAAAATTATATTTACTTAAACAAATCTATTTACGTCAATAAATTATCAAACCTACATCATACAAAATCAAAAGTCAGTCAGAACATCAGTCATTTTTTTATTTTAATAAAGTTAAAAATCTGTATCGCAATGCTTATAAAAAATATTAAAAAGAGCAAGGGAAATATAGACATACTGTAACTTGGGTTTGTAGTAAATTTTTTAATTTTTTTAGTCATAGGAAGGAGCAAACACAATGGGGCTCATGCAAGAACTGTGCATACCCTTCACATTTCTTTTTCAACAGTTCTTCAGTGTCATTAATAGTGATCTTCGTTGCATCTTTGTATCCATACTTATGATTTTGGTGGTCAATTTTGTTAAGTGAAGGACTCAGCGGTACCTTATGCTAACGCTCCTTCACTACAGGGGTAGAGGGCAGGATGGCATGTTTATCCACAATTTACATTTAGAGCCATTTCCTCCGCCAAGGAGCAGGAGCTAGTGAATGAAGTTTAGGAGTAAAGAGAAAATAGTCCTTCCACTTTACATACATGCAAAGTGGAGATGATTTTTTACTCCAAAGATTCGAATGGGTTTGTTCATGGACACTAATCAAAACGGCGACTGACAAAAATCACCTTTCTCTCCTGGATTTAAATTTCTTTCTGATCTGACCGAATTGGACTGAATGTTTAATCTGATATGTTTAGTAAGTTAAATATTTTTGATATGATCAGGCTTTAATTTTGATTTTTTTTTTGTCCATGTTAACTTAGCTACATTTATTCTGACCACCCATTTTTTTCTGCTTATTTATGGCCAATATAAACAGTACAATCCAATTTGTGAATATCATTATTTATTTTCAGAAATGCTACTTTTTAGTGCTGTTAGGTTCAGAAAATGTAGGTTTTGTAAAAGAAGAACTTGAGGCTACACAGGAAAGAGATTCAAGCAACTTCTGCAGGAGCGGAAAGAAAAAGCCCGACCCAACTTCAAGCTTTCTTTCTCCGAATCCTCTCCTGCAGCCATCTTTTATTAACAGAACATAACACATGGTTACAAAACAGTATTTGTTCTGACAGAACAATTGATCAGTTCATAAAGACAAGATGCTCCATCAGAATGACAAGGCATGATGATCTCCTAACTGAATCACAAGACACAGTGCAGCATCCCCTTGCACAAATGTTTCATAAGCACACATTAAATTCATGATCCTCATTGAATAAACCTGACAAGTGCTACAATGACCTCTAAAGCCTGAATGAAACTCTTGAAAGGTCATTATTGTCCAAGTGCTCAAACACTTGACTAGCAACCGATTTCTCCAAAACTGTAGATCAGAAAGGAGGTGTTAGGTTTATTCAATGATGATTATAAAATTAATGTGTGTGCATATGAAACATTGAGAAATGAGATGCTTCACTCTGTCTTATGATTCAATCAGAAGACCACTCTGTCTTGTGATTCAGTCAAGAGGAGAGCTCTGTCTTGTGATTCAGTCAATGGAGCACTCTGTCTTATGACCTGATCAATTGTCCTGTCAGAAGAATGCTGTTTTGTAACCCACCCCATGTGTTATGTTCTGTTAATAAAAGGCACTGCAGAAGGAGGGGGGGCGGAGAGAGAGTTGGAAAGTTGGGTTGCGGCTCTCTTCTCCTCCTGCAGAAGCTGTTGAAAATCCCTTTCTGTGTGGACTCAGTTCCTCTTTTACAAACCTATATTTTTTAACCTAACAGGAGGATTAAACATAGGTCTGGAATGGAACATTGCCAATGAGTGAAGCTGTTAAAATCAAGAGAAAGGTTCTTTAGGTAAAGGTTTAACTACAGCTAACTTAACAGCCTGTTGCACATATCTGTGTTTCATTAATAGATTATTCATATCTAAAATGAGGCTGGCATGTCATGCTCAGAAAGAATTGACCCAGTATTCGAAGCAGACAGATTTCTCAAAAAGTTTTAGAAACTGATCTTTAGTGAAGAGCGTGGGCATCAGGAATATCATCTTACATACTTGTTAACAATTAACTCTGTCATGATAAATATCCCAAACAGTCTAACCCCATTGTGAGAAGTGACAATGCACCAGTGACTTTGACCGTCTCAAAGGAAGCCATTGACTCCACTTTTTTGAAACTGGAAATTAAAACATCATTGCTTCAGGATTGGAGTTTATTGGGTGTTTAATGTATTACAGAAACTCTTGGCAACATTCTATTATAATATGTTAATTAGCACTGCTTCATTTTAATCAGCCTTCCTGACACTGCTCACCTGTGTCTTGATGCGAATTGCCTCACCTATTTCAACCTCTTCCTCCGCAGCCTTCTTTGACAGTCCACATTTGTGTGACCATTTTTTTTCTATATTCGTTTTGCTGCTGTAAACACCAGAGTTTCCCCATCGTGGGACAATAAAGGGATTTTTAATTCTATTCTATTTTATTCTATTCTATTCCAGTTCACCTACCGACGGAACCGCTCCACTGAGGACGCAATCTCTGCTGCTCCCTATCTGAGCCTGGCACACATGAAGGAGAAGAACATCCATGTGCGGATGCTGGCCCTGGACTTCAGTTCAGCTTTCAACACCATCATCCCACAGCATCTCATGGGCAAAGTGAAACCGCTGGGCTTCAATACCCTTCGAAATTGGCTGCTAGACAGAAAGAGAGTCAGGAAAGAATAACAACAAAAAATGTTTTAAATACAGTGATTTACTGCGTCAATATAATAAGTATTCAGTTTTTTGACCAATTTAGCTCTTAATTTGTGAATGTAAATCCCTTTATTGTGTCACATGGGGAAATTGTTTCTCTGCATTTTGACCCATTACCTTGGGGAGCAGTGGGCTGCCATTGGGTGGCACCCGGGAGCAGTGTGAGGTTAAGGGTTTTGCTCAGGAACCCAGAGTGGAGACTGTTGGGATTTAACCAGGTACTTGCAACCTTCTCAGAGCACAAGCGCACTGCTCTAACCCACTAGGTCAACACTCCCCATTTTAAGATAGTCCATACCAAAGGCTTGGTATTAAAACCAAACAAAGTCTATGGAGGATTTTTACTGCCAATAACCAAGAGCACGCATGTTCAATTTGAGAGCAGGATTTGTTCTACCCTCATTCAAAACTTGTGATGCCCCCATTCAAAACTTTCTCTTTCTCTCAAATATGTCTCTTCTCAATCAAATCTTTGTTTCTGCTCTCAGATCTAATGCTTCTTGCAAAGATATTCTCCCCTCTTTCACTTCCTTCTCCTTGTGTGCAAACCAGTCTGTGCTTTAATCAAAGATACCATCACAAACCTGTTGGTTTATGGGTGTGTTTTTACTCTCTCTCACACAAATCTAATTGTTGCCTAGGAACCTTTCCATGAAAGGGGAGTGTTTGTTTTCTTCTTCTTCTTCTTCTTTCAAATATGTAAGAAGGTAAGAATTTACTTTAAAGAAAAAACATTAACCAAAGATGTTTTTCACAGTTTGGAGTTTGTTTACCTTCTCCTTGTTTTCTTTCTTGGCAGTTTCCCAGCTGATAATCCTGTGATCCTTTTACTTAAAGGAATAGTACACCCAAAACATGATTAGCCTTCATTTTCTACTCACCCCCATGCTGAACAACACTCTGGAGTACTTTTTTGATATCTCAAATGCATCTGGAGATCTGGGAGGCTTCTTGCTGTCTGCTGACATTCAAATAATGGAGGTCTATTGTGCCCGAGACAGAAAGGTCCATAAAAGTCCACAAAAAACGTGTCAATATTCCTCCATACTGCTCGTCCAGTCATAATGTTTTTAGAGCATAAACAGTAGTGTATAGGATTTCCTAAAAGCGCGCACATGCGCGTTCACGACGCTACGGAAGCCGGCACACCAAACCAGATGAAAGTGCGCATTCAGCGTCTGCTCTGCCAATAATGCAAGCGTAGAAGAAGAAATGTGCTGTTTACCTGTGCAAAGAAAGAAACAACGAAAGAAAAATGTCTGAGGACTTCAGTGTTGAGGAAGAGCATGAGTTCTTTGCCGAGCTGAATGCGCTGGTTTGGTCTGCCGGCTTCCGTAGCGTCGTGATCGGGCATGTGCGCGCTTTCAGGAAATCCTATACACTACTGTTTATGCTCTAAAAACATTCTAAATGACTTCGTTTCGAATAAATTCTGGATGCTACCCACTCAGGACACTTGGAATACATTGGACGAGCAGTATGGAGGAATATTGACACGTTTTTTGTGGACTTTTATGGACCTTTCTGTCTCGGGCACAATAGACCTCCATTATTTGAATGTCAGCAGACAGCAAGAAGCCTCCCAGATCTCCAGATGCATTTGAGATATCAATAAAGTACTCCAGAGTGTTGTTCAGCATGGGGGTGAGTAGAAAATGAAGGCTAATCATGTTTTGGGTGTACTATTCCTTTAAGATCGCCACTGAACTATTTATTAAAACCTTTAAATCTGACTGTCTCTAGATGTATCTACATTTGGGTCCTGGCCTTAAACCAAAATATGAAGGTTTATATTATTGCATTATTGATTAAATGTTGTTATTGCTTCTTCCTCCATTCAACTTGAGTAAGTCAGAATTCTTATAAGAATTCTAACAATTACTTAAGAGTCTGTAAACTGTGGGAAATGGTTTTGTAAGATATACAATTAAAATAAACTTGAAAAAATCCATCTTAAGAATTTCTGGGTTTGTGCAGCCCCTTGTTAAAAGTCCTTAGAAAGATTAATTTACCTTATATTTCAGAATGATAAGGTGTATGTATGTAGGTGTTGTGTATTATTCTGATCAATATCTTTTTATGTTCTTTTCTCTTTTTAACCTTCTCTCTTGAGTTAAGTTTGTCAGATATATCAGTAGCAGTGTCCCCTGACACCTGAGAAAAACTGACAGTGGCAGGGACGTCTCCCTGTCACCCCCTGCAGCTGAAAGATGTTATTCCCTGCAACTGTTGTCTGGGGGTTAGTTGTTGTTCCCCCAGGTTCTGTCCTTCCTCTGCAGCCAGAGCCAAAAAATCCCTTTCTCCACCTCCTCAGCCAGTTTCTTTGTTGCCTTCCTCAGCCATTCCTCCGGTGACTCCCATGCCTTTCAGGAGGAGTATGGTCGACAACCCCGTGAAGCCTTGGCATCCGACCACTACTGGTTAGATGGTAGTCTTCCCGCCTCCCGACACTCAGCAGCCAGCTCTGAGTACTTGGCCTTTCGCTCAAAGGCAGCTTCGTTCCCTTCCTCCATTGGCACAGTGAGCTCAATGAGGGCTACCACCCCTAGCGTTAGCATTCCTAACCGACTCATCTGTGGACTCCCGAAGCTCAAGCACCAACCTGGTCTTTTCTTGCTTGTAGCTCAGCTGTAGCGATGTTAGAGGTAGCTGGAGCATCTTCCTCCCAAATAGGCCGGCTTCAGAGAGGCACGGTGGCAGCCCCAACCACTTTCGGATGAATGAGTTGGCTTTACCATCCATCCTACTCTTGGTTGATGAGGGGATCTCACTCATTTTCAGGGGCAACAGCAGTCTCTGGCAGAGTGTAAATTGGTAACACCAGACCTTGTATTTACCCGGGAGTTGGCTTTGGTCAATTCTCTTCAGCCCATTAAAGAGCTGCTTCATAACGGTTTTCCCCATTTTCTTTTCAGAAAGCTCGGCAGTGTACTGCCTCCCAAGGCTTTTGATTGGGTACTCTGCAAAGAGTGAGATCTTCTCTCCCCGGACAACGAAGGTGGTGTTGTCATTCCGGACTCCTCTCCTTAGTGACAGGCTACGGAAATTAGAGGGCTTGATCTTTATCCTTGCTCATGACATCAGCTCATCAATCCTCCGCAGCAGTCTTGCTGTACATGCTGCTGTCTGAAGGAGGGTGGTGACGTCGTCCATGTAGCTCATTAGCGGGGGAAGCCTCTGGCCAGTTGGCAGCTGATTCCTCCTGCCATTTGCCTTGCACCGATGAGGATTATTTCAAACGCTGCTACAAACAGTGTAGGTGAAATTGCACACCCATTCCCTATTCCGACTTCAAGCCGCTAGCATCCAGTAGTGAAGTCCAGGGCAGAGAAGCACATCTGCAGGTTGTTAAAATAGCTTTCTACCATGCTTCTGATGCATGTTGAAGAATTCCATGGCGTAGATGATGGCCAGGTCAAGCCAGATGACGTGCAAGTCAGTCTTGTCCCGCTTAGCCCTCTGGATCTGGTCCCAGATCAATTTCTTCAATTTATTTTTTTCATTTCTGCTTTGAAATCTCTATTACCAGTGGTGTGAAATTGGCTCTTCCTGTTGTCTGTTGGCATGGTGATTGTCAAATCGGGGCTCGACTAATAATGGCTTGTCATACTTGTTACGCACGTGCTCAACTCTGAGTGGACCTACTTAGAGTTGATTAAACTAACTCACAGCCACTTTTATGAAACTGAAAACTCAGATAAACTGCAAAACAGCTAGATGTGTCCATTAAGTATTGGAATATTGAGATCATTAATTATTCATGCCTGTCCCTGTGTGTCTGTCTGTGTATTTATTATTAAGCTCTGCATATGAATGAAGATGTAAAAATCTAGATCAAAATGCTAATAGACATTTGGAAGCAGCATTGGGAGTATTATGAATTCCCTTTGTTAATGTACTAAGACACGTTTATTGCAAATATAATTTTGGTTGATTGATATGAATTTGATCAGTAATTTTAGTTAGCCAAATTTCAAGTTGAGTGTGTTTGAGTTGGGCTGTTCACAAGGGAGATTGTTACCTAATCCCACCTCTCTTTTGGGTCCTCACAGTCATTATTAAAATGGCAGTGTGCAGGATTTAGTTCTTTATTCCTTAACTGCTGTACGCTCACGGATGAAGAGTGCCCTCCCAACAGTTATTCTAATGGTTCTTAAATAGTAAGTCTTTTGACATATTTATTCATTGAAATACAGATAAATTCTCAATATTAACTATTTATTGGTGTCTCTATAATTTCTTTCCTAAATGCACAACATCGATCTATTTTTGGTCACCACATGACGGTGAGTCATATTCAACTGATGGTTTCTGTTTTTTTGTGGTTTCAGGCCCTCAGAACATACCTGTTGGGACTTGTAAAGAAACAAACAGCAAACAAATATAGTTCATTAAAAATGTTTCCTGGTTACGCTCACTGTTTAGATTGCAATATATTCATAATTATAAATTAAATTTTGGTTGATTGATATGAAATAGAGCAATAATTTTAGTCAGCCAAATTTCAGGTTGAATGTGTTTTGTGTTGGGCTGTTTACACGGGAACTTGTTACCTTGCACCCCCCACCCCCCACCCCCCCTCAACATCATTGTGTAGTTACTATTGTGTGTAGTTACTAGTCCTTTATTCCTTAACTGGAGTACGCTAACAGGTGAAAAGTGCCATCCCAGCAGTTATTCTCAGGGTTCTATAATAGTAAGTCTTTTGACATATTTATTGATTGAAATACAGATGAATTCTGAATATTAACTATTTATTGGTCTCTATCAATTTATATTTAGTCAGCACATGAAGGTGAGTCATATTCAAATGATGGTTTCTGGTTTTTTGTGGTTTCAGGCCCTCTAAACATACATGATGGGACTTGTAAAGAAACAAACAGCAAACTAATATAGTTAATTAAATATGTTTCCTGGTTACACTCACTGTTTAGATTGACAGTGGGTGTAACTGGTAACTTTGGCTGCAGTGACGTGTTGAAGCCAGTTTCGGTATTGAGTATATAAAACTAGCAAATCTCTATTACTGACAGATAAAATGGCTAAGAGAAGAGATCACTGCTATCCTGGACCTGGATATGTGGCCAGTCATGTCTGCACTGCGAGGAAGAGGAAAGCTGTTAAGTCTTGTTTATCCTGCCCTGCTTCCTACTGTAGGGCTCACTTACAACCACCACCATTAAAGAAGCACAAGCTGATGGACCCCTCCAAGAATCTCCAGGAGAACTTCTGCTCCCATCATGATGAGGTGATGAAGATCTGCTGTTGTACTTATCAGCAGTGTATCTGTTATCTCTGCACCATGGATGAACATAAAGGCCATGAAACAGTCCCAGCTGCAGCAGAAAGGACTGAGAAGCAGAAGGAGCTCCAGGAGAGACGACAACAAATCCAGCAGAGAATCCAGGAGCAGGAGGAAGATGTGAAGCTGCTTCAACAGGAGGTGGAGGCCATCAATGGCTCTGCTGATAAAGCGGTGAAGGACAATGAGAAGATCTTCACTGATCTGATCCATCACATCCAGAAAAGAAGCTCTGATGTGAAGCAGCAGATCAGATCCCAGCAGGGAACTAAAGTGAGTCGAGTCAAAGAGCTTCAGGAGAAGCTGGAGCAGGAGATCACTGAGCTGAAGAGGAAAGATGCTGAGCTGGAGAAGCTCTCAAACACAGAGGATCTGTACCAGTTTCTCCAGAACTACCCCTCACTGTCAGCACTCAGTGAGTCTACACACTCAACCAGGATCAATATTCGTCCTCTGAGACACTTTGAGGATGTGACAGCAGCTGTGTCAGAGCTCAGAGAGAAACTGAAGAACATCCTGAGGGACACATGGACAAACATCGCACCTGCTGTATCTGAAGTGAATGTCCTACAGTCAGAATTAGAACCAAAGACCAGAGCTGGATTCTTGAAATATTCACGAAAAATAACTTTTGATCCGAACACAGCACATAGGAAGTTGTTATTATCTGAGGGAAACAGAAAGGTAATGTTAATGGGGCAGCTTCAGTCTTATCCTGATCATCCAGACAGATTTACTGATCAGTATCAGGTCCTGAGTAAAGAGAGTCTGACTGGACGTTGTTACTGGGAGGTGGAGTGGAGAGGAGTAGTTCGCATAGCAGTTTCAGCCAAGATTAGCAATTGTATAAAGAGATCACAAGGAAATTTGTTCGGATTCAATGACAAATCCTGGTCTTTACGCTGTGATGTAAACAATAACCTGTTGTATCACAAAGGCATTCAAACTAATGCTCAAGGCTCCTCCAGAATAGGAGTGTTTCTGGATCACAGAGCAGGTACTCTGTCTTTCTACAGCGTCTCTGAAACACTGACTCTCCTCCACAAAGTCAAGACCACATTCACTCAGCCTCTATATGCTGGGATTCAACTTAGGTCTTACCTGGTTAACGGATTACCAAATAGATCCTTTGCTAAGTTTGTTAAGCTGAAATAGTCAAAGATCAGATTTCATATCAAACTCAACCAGATTCTTTTTCAAGTTTTCTGTGTTTTCATCAGATATATGGATGCATTTATTTGTCTATAGATTTTTACAGTTTAAGGAGTTTTCTTCTCCGCCAACCAGTGATAGCATCCTTGATTTGCAGTATTATATTCAACAATTTGTGGCTGTAGATATTTTGTTTGTTAGTAACTTTATATGCTGCAGAATTCCTTTAAATTAGTTCAGGGTTTAATTGACATGTGATATTGGTTTCTATTACTAAGCTAACTATACTAACAATTATCTGGTATTACTATTTTTTGGTTTTAAAGTTGTATTTCTTTTTAATTTCTACCATTAGTTTTAAAGCCATTAGGTGCTTAAACTCTCAGCTTGAAAGTTTTGTGTTGCCCTCTAGTGGATCTTTATCATCACCATGGATATAATGACCTTTCTTTAGTTCTTTACAATGTTAGTGATGCCCTCTAGTGTCTCGTCTTATTCACCATGAATATAACTGCCTCTTTTCTTTAACCAATCACTTTACCTTTACCTTCATGGAACTTCAATTTGCTGTTATTTACCTAGTTAAGCTATTTTTTCTTCTTTATCTTAACTGTGTATGAACAGCTCTTAATAAATAAAGGTTTGTTACAATGTTTTTGTCTGTCTCATGAAACCATTTTCCTTCTGTCTTCTGTTGCTCACCATGGTATTTGATCTGGAAAACCAGCCGTGTGTGCTGCAGTTGCCTCCATGCTTCAAATGGCCGTTGGCTTTACCGAATCACCCATCTGTAGTTTCATTATAGAATTTACTCAGAAATCATAATTACTTATTAAATTAACAAATAATTCAGTAAATAAATTATCAAACCTACATCATACAAAATCAAAAGTCAGTTAGAATATCAGTCATTTTCTTATTTAATAAAGTTCAAAATCTGTATCGCAATGCTTATAAAAAGAATTAATAAGAGCAAGGGAAATATATACATACTGTAAGGTGGGTCTGTAGCAAATTTTTTTTTATTTTTTTTTAGTCCTAGGAAGGAGCAAACACAATGGGGCTTGTGCAAGAACTGTGCATACCCTTCACTTTTTTTTTCAACAGTTCCTCAGTGTCGTTAATGGCTGATCTTCTTCGCATCTTTGTATCCATACTTTTGATTTTGGTGGTCAATATTGTTAAGTGAAGGGCTCAGTGGTACCTCCTGCATACCTTATGAAAATTTAGTCTGATATGTTTAGTAAATTAAATATTTTTAATATGATCAGGCTTTCATTTGGATTTTTTTTGTCCATGTTAACTTAGCTACATTTAGTCTGACCACCCTTTTTTCCCCCTGCTTATTTATGCCAATATAAACAGTACAATCCGATTTGTGTTTTTTAATCTGAGTACATTTAAATTAAATCATGAAATTTTGTGCAAGAAAAAACAGAGCTATGTTCACATAAGTCAACAAGGCTGACAGTGAACCTGCTTAAAGCCCTGATAAAAATCACAGGAAGGTTGTAACTGTCACAGTCTTGGTTCTGTTATGTTTTTCTTTTGAACATTCAGTTTTAATTTGCTCTATGTTTTCTAGTTTTACAGGTTTAATTCTTATTTTGTCGTGTTTTCTGGTTGTTTTCAGGTTTTTATTTGTTGCCCTCTGCTGCCCTCTTGTGTTCTTTTTTCTGTCAGGATTTGGTAGTGGTTTGAGGACACAAATGCAGAGGCAGGGAAGCAGATGTGAGTTTCTTGTGGATTTAATGAAGTGTTAACTGATACTGAGGTAGGAATCCAAAAATCCAAAAAATCAAACATGAAAAAAGTCAACCAAACCAGAAACCATGGAGACACCAGGGGGATACAATCACGACGAGGAAGACACAGTGAGACGGAGTTGGAGGAAGTTAGACGAGGAACCAGCTCTGAGGAACTGCACAAAGACTATATTTATGGGAGACTGAACAAAGAGAGGACTAACGAGCAGATTGGGAGCAGGTGTGAACAGAGCACAAAGGAAAGGAGCTAGGGAAAAAGGAGAACACAAGAGGGCAGCAGAGGGCAACAAATAAAAACCTGAAAACAACCAGAAAACACAACAAAATAAGAATTAAACCACTAAAACTAGAAAACATTGAGCAAAGTAAAATTGAATACTCAAAAGAAAAACAGAACAGAACAAAGACTGTGACAGTTACTCTCCTCAACAGTAGTGAGCAAGATCAAATGTGCAAGGACCTTTTTAAAGTGATGACTCTTTGTCCTCAGCTGAGGTTATAATGTGGTTCGTCCTTCTGATATTACTGTATAAAGACTACAATTTGTTTTTCTGTTCTCTGTTTTTTTTTTCCAATCCTTAATTTAATCAGTCCTTTGTCTTGCTTTAATTGGCTGTGTAAATACAAAGGACCCTGCAAACCCCTAGAGGGCCTCAAATCTAAATGTTCAGTCAAAAAATGTTTATCCTAAGTTCATTCATTAAAAGTTACAAATAATAATGAAAAAGTAAAATAATATCAGTTGCAGATATGACTCCTTAATTTGAGAATATCATTATTTATTTCAGAAATGCTACTTTTTAGTGCTGTTAGGTTCAGAAAATGTAGGTTTGCAAAAAAAAAAGAAATTGAGTCTACACAGGAAAGAGATTCAAGCAACTTCTGCAGGAGCGGAAAGAAAAAGCCCGAGCCAACTTCAAGCTTTCTTTCTCCGAATCCTCTACTGCAGCCATCTTTTATTAACAGAACATAACACATGGTTACAAAACAGTATTTGTTCTGACAGAACAATTGATCAGTTCATAAAGACAAGATGCTCCATCAGAATGACAGGCCAGGATGGTCTCCTGACTGAATCACAAGACACAGTGCAGCATCCCCTTGCACAAATGTTTCATAAGCACACATTAATTTTATAATCATCATTGAATAAACCTGACAAGTGCTACAATGACCTCTAAAGCCTGACTGAAACTCTTGAAAGGTCATTATTGTCCAAGTGCTCAAACACTTGACTAGCAACCGATTTCTCCAAAACTGTAGATCAGAAAGAAGGTGTTAGGTTTATTCAATGATGATTATAAAATTAATGTGTGTGCATATGAAACATTGAGAAATGAGATGCTTCACTCTGTCTTATGATTCAATCAGAAGACCACTCTGTCTTTTGATTCAGTCAAGAGGAGAGCTCTGTCTTGTGATTCAATCAGCAGAGCACTCTGTCTTATGACCTGATCAATTGTCCTGTCAGAAGAATGCTGTTTTGTAACCCACCCCATGTGTTATGTTCTGTTAATAAAAGGCACTGCAGAAGGAGGGGGGGCGGAGAGAGAGTTGGAAAGTTGGGTTGCGGCTCTCTTCTCCTCCTGCAGAAGCTGTTGAAAATCCCTTTCTGTGTGGACTCAGTTCCTCTTTTACGAACCTACATTTTTTTACCTAACAGGAGGATTAAATATACCGTAGGTCTAGAATGCAACATTGCCAATTAGTGAGGCTGTTCAAATCAAGAGAAAGGTTCTTTAGGTAAAGGTTTAACTACAGCTAACTTAACAGCCTGTTGCACATATCTGTGTTTCATTAATAGATTATTCATATCTAAAATGAGGCTGGTATGTCATGCTCAGAAAGAATAGACCCAGTATTCGAAGCAGACAGATTTCTCAAAAAGTTTTAGAAACTGATCTTTAGTGAAGAGCGTGGGAGTCAGGAATATCATCTTACATACTTGTTAACAATTAACTCTGTCATGATAAATATCCCAAACAGTCCAACCCCATTGTTAGAAGTGACAATGCACCAGTGACTTTGACCGTCTCAAAGGAAGCCATTGACTCCACTTTTTTTAAACTGGAAATTAAAACATCATTGCTTCAGGATTGGAGTTTATTGGGTGTTTAATGTATTACAGAAACTCTTGGCAACATTCTATTATAATATGTTAAGTAGCACTGCTTCATTTTAATCAGCCTTCCTGACACTGCTCACCTGTGTATTGATGCGAATTGCCTCACCTATTTCAACCTCTTCCTCCGCAGCCTTCTTTGACAGTCCACATTTGTGTAACCATTTTTTTTTCTATATTCGTTTTGCTGCTGTAAACACCAGAGTTTCCCCATCGTGGGACAATAAAGGGATTTTTAATTCTATTCTATTTTATTCTATTCTATTCGAGCCGTTCCAGTTCACCTTCCCGACGGAACCGCTCCACTGAGGACGCCATCTCTGCTGCTCCCTATCTGAGCCTGTCACACCTCGAGGAGAAGAACACCCATGTGCGGATGCTGGCCCTGGACTTCAGTTCAGCTTTCAACACCATCATCCCACAGCATCTCATGGGCGAAGTGGAACAGCGGGGCTTCAATACCCTTCGAAATTGGCTGCTAGACAGAAAGAGAGTCAGGAAAGAATAAGAACAAAAAATGTTTTAAATACAGTGATTTACTGCGTCAATATAATAAGTATTCAGTTTTTTGACCGATTTAACTCTTAATTTGTAAATGTAAATCCCTTTATTGTGTCACATGAGGAAATTGTTTCTCTGCATTTTGACCCATCCCCTTGGGGAGCAGTGGGCTGCCATTGGGTGGAGCAGTATGGGGTTAAGGGTTTTGCTCAGGAACCCAGAGTGGAGGCTGTTGGGATTGAACCAGGTACTTGCAACCTTCTCAGAGCACAAGCGCACTGCTCTAACCCACTAGGTCAACACTCCCCATTTTAAGATAGTCCATACCAAAGGCTTGGTATTAAAACCAACCAAAGTCTACAGAGGATTTTTACTGCCAATAACCAAGAGCACGCATGTTCAATTTGAGAGCAGGATTTGTTCTACTCTCATTCAAAACTTGTGATGCCCCCATTCAAAACTTACTCTTTCTCTCAAATATTTCTCTTCTCAATCAAATCTTTGTTTCTGCTCTCAGATCTAATGCTACTTACAAAGATTTTCTCCCCTCTTTCACTTCCTTCTCCTTGTGTGCAAACCAGTCTGTGCTTTAGTCAAAGATACCATCACAAACCTGTTGGTTTATGGGTGTGTTTTTACTCTCTCTCACACAAATCTAATTGTTGCCTAGGAACGTTTCCATGAAAGGGGAGTGTTTGTTTTCTTCCACTGATTTTGTCTGTTACTGCTAACTGATGTTAAAACTGCTCGTCAGAAAGAAACAGGTTAATGAGTAAAGATGGTTTCAGTTTTAAATAGATTTATGTATTGCAGGCAGCATTTATCATTTTTTTCCAGCAGTAATGTTTCCCATATCAAAGCTTAATAGACTTATATCGAAATTTGTTTCCTCTGAGAAATTTTCCTAAGACATTTTCAAGTCATTTTTAGCAAAGTAAAGACACCCAAGCCCTACTAATTTTATTAGCTTTAGCTAACAGGGGTAAATCCAGTCTTTAGGTGCTAAATGACCACTCATGAGAGGCAAACTGAGCTTTGTAACTTTACTATAATATGTTATAAATATATATTCCCCTAATTATTGTGGAAAGCTGGTCATTTCTAACAGTGTATTCTTCCTGTGGTTCACTATTCTTTCTCTTGGAACAATGTTCAATGCAACATTCCAAAAATAAACATATAAATCCACAAGGATGAGTGGTTTGTATGAGTTGAGATTAGTACATATTGAACCACTTTAAGTGGTCAAAAACGGAACACATGACCAAGAAGGAATATCGGTGTTTATAATCCAAATGAGACAAGATGCCTTTGACAACAATTAGATAGTATTGTTTATTGCCAAAGCCTCTGATTGCCTCTCAGCATCAATACCTGTCAAAACATATAGCATTCATATAAATATAAACACATGCATGATACCTTTACAATTTCATGATAAAATGGGTATCTACAAATGTGGACTTCTTAAAAGTTCTGTACAGCAATTTTTTTGTTTCACTGTGCAAAACAAAGTACAAGCACCTCATCAGCGGTATAAGAATAGACCATAGCCAGCACTCCAGCAGTGTTATCTCCCAGTGGACATCCATTCCCAGGACCCTGGTTTTGCATAAACTTGAAACCTCAATCTCAGCCTCTGAGTTTTTGTGAACTTCTCCTTGTTTCCTTTCCTGGCTGGTGGTGGTCCACTCGCTTCCTCTTGAGAGTCTCTGTCAGTCGCACCTGGCTCAACCTCAAACGTTTGTTCCTCTCGGAAGTGCATCACTGTGAGCAGTTAGTTCTGGATCTATGGTGCTTTAAACTGAACTCCAACAAGGCCCCATTATCTTTACCCCCTGTCAGTTTCCCAGCTGATAATCTTGTGATCCTTTAACGTAAGATCGCCACTGAACTATTTATTAAAACCTTTAAATCTCACCGTCTCTGGATATATCTACATTTGTGTCCTGGCCTTAAACCAAAACATTGATATTATTGCATTATTAGTAAAACGTTGTTATTGCTTCTTCCTAATTCAGCCTGAGTGAGTCAGAATTCTTATAAGAATTCTAATAATTACTTAAGAGTTTGTAAACTGTGGGAAATGGTTTTGTAAGATATAAAATGAAAATAAACTTTAAAAAAATCCGTCTTAAGAATTTCGCAGTGTATTCTCATCAGTTCGTATGAAATCGTACGAAAAGTTATGCACAGTATTTCATACGTTTTTGACGTTTTTTTCGTCGTATTTCGTTGTATTTTTACGTCTTGCCTCGAGACAAGATATCCGTGCGCATGCGCATCTTACGCACCATTCAATAACATACAATTTAACATACAATTAACCCTAACCCTGACCCTAAGATACAAAACAGCAAGCAACCTAGTGAGAGACATCATGAAGTAATTATTGCACTGTCCGTCCCAGTTTTACGTCCGTCCGCGGATCTGCTTTTTTCGTCTGTCTGGCTGAGCATGCGCCCTGATATGTTTTTTCGAGGAAAAACGTCAAAAACGTATGAAATACTGTGCATAACTTTTCATACGATTTCATACGAACTGATAAGGAGAATATGTTGTTTTTCTGGGTTTGTGCAGCCCCTTGTTAAAAGTCCTTGAAAAGATTGATTTACCTAATATTCCCGACTGATAAGGTGTATGTATGTAGCTGTTTTGCATTATTCTGATCAATATCTTTTTTTGTTTTTTGCTCTTTTTAACCTTCTCTCTTGAGTTAAGTTTGTCTGATATATCAGTAGCAGTGTCCCCTGAAACCTGAGGAAAACAGTTTTTATTTTTTTTATTTTGATTATTTATCTTCTGATATGTCAGTTTCTGTCCACTTACTTATTATGTTTGCCCTGATCCTTTTTTTATTTATTTTTTTTTTATTTATTTGTCTATTTATCTATTTTTTTTATTCCGTGTGGGTGTATATTGGGGTTTGTTCTAGCCCAGTCTAAATGTTAAAGGTACATTTTACAATTATATAACCATTGCTCTGTCTTTACATTGTTCCACATGTTAAAGCAAAATAAACATTGGAGGAAAAAAAAGGATATAAAATTAAAAAAAGATACATTGATAAAATACTAGTATATTTACTGTATTTATTTAATTGACTTGAAAGTAGAAGTTGGTTACATTTTTTATTTCCAAGCAGCAGTTTTCGTTGATTTCTGTTTATCATGTGCAGTGATCAAACAAGCAAATCTAAAAGTGGTTGATGTAACACTGATACCAGTGTGTGTCATTTGTTTAGCCTAATGAGATTTGCATAGGGCTTGAACTGAGCTAGAGACAGTCCTGCTTTTACTGAACCTCCCTGGACTTGTTTAGATGTACAGCAACACAATTATCACGGCTGAAAATTTAAACTGCTCTTTACATTTTTATTGTATAATCAACCGTGCAACTATTTAAAAAAATTTATTATTACTTTAATTTTTACCAAAAAAGGGGAAAAGAAATATAAAACCCAATACTTAGTAGTATAATTGCCGTCGTTTTTTTTACTTTCAGAAACTTAGTTTCTGATGTAAAAATGTAGCCTCTTCATATAAACCTACGCATTAACCGATTAACTCAAGCAGCAATCTTCTGCTTCGCAATCTTCCTCTCCTTTGCAGCTGTAGTGCTGTTGCTCATTCTTTTAAACACTCCCTTCAATTTGTTTTTTCATTTCTGCTTTGAAATCTCTATTACCAGTGGTGTGAAACTGGCTCTTCCTGTTGTCTGTTGTCATGGTGATTGTCCAATCGGAGCTCGACTAATAATGGCTTTTCATACTTGTTACGCACATGCTCAAATCTGAGTGGACCTACTTAGAGTTGATTAAACTAACTCACAGCCACTTTTATGAAACTGAAAACTCAGATAAACTACAAAACAGCTAGATGTGTCCATCCAATCGGAAAATGAAGTATTGGAATATTGGAATCATTAGTTATTCATGTCTGTCTGTTTGTGTGTCTGTCTGTGTATTTATTATTATGATCTGCATATGAATGAAGATGTAAAAACTTAAAATGCTGACAGACATTTGGAAGCAGCATTGGGAGTATTATGAATTCCCTTTGTTAATGTACCAAGACATGTTTATTGCAAATATAATTTTGGTTGATTGCTATGAAATAGAAATTGAAATACATATAAATTCTCAATATTAAATGTTTATTGGTGTCTTTATAATTTTTTTACCTAAATGCACAACACCAATCAATTTATTTTTGGTCAGCACATGAAGGTGAGTCATATTCATATTTGGTTTCTGTTTTTTCATGGTTTCAGGCCCTCTAAACAAACCTGTTGGGACTTGTAAAGAAACAAACAGCAAACGAATATAGTTAATTAAATATGTTTCCTGGTTACACTCACTGTTTAGATTGACAGTGGGTGTAACCAGTGACGTGTTGAAGCCAGTTTCGGTATTGACTATATAAAACTAGCAAATCTCTATTACTGACAGATAAAATGGCTAAGAGAGGAGATCAGCTGGACCGAGAGGAATTCTCCTGTTCCATCTGTTTGGATCTACTGAAGGATCCAGTGACTATTCCCTGTGGACACAGCTACTGTATGAACTGTATTAAAGTTCATTGGGACAGAGAAACTCAAAGAAGAATCTACAGCTGCCCTCAATGCAGAGCAACTTTCAGGCAAAGGCCTGCACTATCAAAAAACATCTTGCTGTCAGAGTTGGTGATGGATCTAAAGAAGACATCAAGACACCAAGCTTCTCCAGTTAATCACTGCTATGCTGGAGCTGAAGATGTGGCCTGTGATGTCTGCACTGGGAGGAAAAGGAAAGCTGTCAAGTCCTGTTTGTCCTGCCCTGCTTCCTACTGTGAGAATCACCTGCAACCTCATTATGATGCTCCGCCATTAAAGAAGCACAAGCTGAGGAACCCCTCGAAGAATCTCCAGGAGAACATCTGCTCTCGTCATGATGAGGTGATGAAGATCTTCTGTCGTACTGATCAGCAGTGTATCTGTTATCTCTGCACCATGGATGAACATAAAGGCCATGAAACAGTCCCAGCTGCAGCAGAAAGGACTGAGAAGCAAAAGGAGCTTCAGGAGAGACGACAACAAATCCAGCAGAGAATCCAGGACCAGGAGAAAGATGTGAAGCTGCTTCAACAGGAGGTGGAGGCCATCAATGGCTCTGCTGATAAAGCAGTGGAGGACAATGAGAAGATCTTCACTGATCTGATCCGTCTCCTCCAGAAAAGAAGCTCTGATGTGAAGCAGCAGATCAGATCCCAGCAGGAAACTGAAGTGAGTCGAGTCAAAGAGCTTCAGAAGAAGCTGGAGCAGGAGATCACTGAGCTGAAGAGGAAAGATGCTGAGCTGGAGAAGCTCTCAATCACAGAGGATCACACCCAGTTTCTCCAGAACTACCCCTCACTGTCAGCACTCAGTGAGTCTACACACTCATCCAGCATCAATATTCGTCCTCTGAGATACTTTGAGGATGTGACAGCAGCTGTGTCAGAACTCTGGGATATACTACAGGACATTTTGAGAGAAACACAGAGAAACTTCTCACTGAAAGTCACTGTAAGGTCAGAAACAGCTCCCAAGGTCAGAGCCAGATTCCTGAAATACTCGAGGGAGATTATTCTAGATCCAAACACAGCAAACAGATTACTTTCATTGTCTGAGGGGAACAGAAAGGTAATACTAACAGACCACCAACAGTCTTATCCTGATCACAAAGACAGGTTTACTACTTGGCCTCAGGTCCTGAGCAGAGACAGTCTTACCGGACGCTGTTACTGGGAGGTAGAGTGGAAAGGAGTAGCTATTGCAGCAGTTTCATATGATAATATCAACAGAGCAGATACATCAGCTGAAGGCTTATTTGGATGGAATAAGAAATCTTGGTCTTTACGTTGTGAGAAAAATAGCTACATATTTCAACACAACAGCATTCAAACTCCAGTACCAGGTCCAGTTTCCTCCAGAATAGGAGTGTATCTGGATCACAGAGCAGGTATTCTGTGTTTCTACAGCGTCTCTGAAACCATGACTCTCCTCCATAGAGTCCAGACCACATTCACTAAACCTCTATATGCTGGGATAAGGCTTAGGAGTTGCATTAATGGATCCACTGCTGATTTTGTTAAACTAAAATAGTCAGAGCTGATTTCAGCACCAATTAAAATGTGTATCTAACTTCCGGTTTCTTCAGTCTCTCTCATTGTTGCTGAGAGCTCATTGTTCTGTCATTTCTTTGATGCTGAGGGACCAGTTGTCTTCAGAAGCTATTTTTTCATCTCTTTTTGATGTTTTGCTGATGTTGGATTTTGTTGCTGTTTCTGTTCAGCCAAAAAGCTCAATACTGCTCAGAAGGATTTTTCTATTCATCTAAACATTTATCACTTTGTCAGATCAAATCTATGTGCAGATTAGCTGACAGTAGATGATCATTATTGATCACAACATCATTATTTTTTGGACATGGATCAGATTTTGGATCAAACTGAATTAAAAAAATCATTTTGAAAAGCACATTCTAACTTAAATCTTTATGAAAGTTAAATGTTTTGTGTTTTGATGAGATTTTTCAAAACTTTTTATGGATTTACTACATTTTCATTCATGCAGACAAGCGATCACATCTTTGTAATGGTTTATCATATTCAACAGTCTGTGGTTAAGAATATTTTTTTCATCAGAAACTTTGGTGCTATGTTAAAATCCTTAAAATTAATTAAGGAATAGATTGAAGTGTGATGTTAATTTTCCTTACTTGACTCAATAAAACATAATATTCAAAATTAGAATGGGTGATTTATTCCGAGAAAGAGGAAATGCATAATTATTGTAATTGTTTATCTTTTTATAATGTGACCGATTTATTGACTGATGCATATATTTGTTGGATGATTTATATTTAGATCATATAAATGTTCGACCCATTCTGCCATAAAACATTTGCAGACCCACTTTTGATAGCTGCCCCAATTTCACCCAGAAACCAGTAACTTTATACATCTTTAACTCAGGTGAGTGGCGACCTACTGGTTAGGGCATTGCGCTTGGAGTCCTGAGGGTATAAAGTTCAAACCCCACTCCCACAGATGCCACTCTGGGTCCCTGATAATAAAAATAAAAGACCCTTAACCCCACACTGCTTGGGGTGCAGCCCCAAACGGGAACAGCGCACTGCTCCCCAAGGGGATGGGTTAAAGATAGAGGGTGAATTTCATTGCTCTGTACTTGTGACAGTGTAATGACAATAGAAAAGCTAAAAATAAAAAAATTTAAAAAAGAAAGAAAAATTATGGAATACAAACAAAAACAAAAACAGGATCCAGGAACTGTGCAATAAGATGGACCTTGCAGAGGAACAAAAAAGGTGATAAAGTTTGATTGTATTCATCTCACACTCAGCTGTTTTAGCAAATATTTAAATTACAACTGTGGAGTAAAAATGAGCACTGAGAGTTGATATGCAAGGAAGAAAAGGTTTTATTTTACTCTGCAGAGGAGAACGACACAAACAGCTGAATACAGCTCTCAGTGTGATTCTGACTAGGTCACTGCCCATCCTTTGCATTTATAGAGAATTCTTACACATGAACATTGAGTCTTCCCAAGAGAAACACTTCACCAAAGGACATAGATAAATGTTCAGATAAACATTTCAAACAACTTTTTTCCATTCACACCAGAGACAGGACATGAGGACCTTAAACACAATAAGGACCTGTTTATCTATGTTTCCCCCTTATCTAACCTAGGGAAGAAACTCATTTTCAAACCCCCTTCCTTTCCCTGTATCTCAGCACAAAGAATGGAACAAAAGCTTCTAACTAATCACCATTATTAAGAAAGAAAGAAAGAAAGAAAGAAAGAAAGAAAGAAAGAAAGAAAGAAAGAAAGAAAGAAAGAAAGAAAGAAAGAAAGAAAGAAAGAAAGAAAGAAAGAAAGAAAGAAAGAAAGAAAGAAAGAAAGAAAGAAAGAAAGAAAGAAAGAAAGAAAGAAAGAAAGGAAGGAAGGAAGGAAGGAAGGAAGGAAGGAAGGAAGGAAGGAAGGAAGGAAGGCACACTAACATTTTATCAGGCCAAGGAAGAAATATGAATGCATACAACATTCCTGAAATAATTGTGAATCCATCTACTCTCAGTGCCACAGTGCCTTGTTGACATGGCTGCAAAGTACACCTCAAGGGTCGATGCCAACCGTCCAGCCTCCAATAGATCCTGCATGTAACTTAATACCTCATGTTGGAAACATGAGATTGGGTCGATCCCTTTGGCCTGGCACCACATTGAAAAACCTTGCCAGCAATAGGTATAGGTTCTCCTTATGGAGGGAGCTTCTGGTGTTTTGCAGAATCTATTGCGGCCACACTATGAGGAGAAGATGACTTGGAGGCGGATGCTAAATCTCTCCCCGTCACCTGACACTGGGGGCTTGGACCGAAAGCTCTTTCCATCAGGAACTCATCTGGGGGGAAAAAACAGAGAGGCAATGCAGTGTTCCACTGGGGGCATGCTCATAGATGCTAGGATTGGCGCATCCCAACCATGGAGGGAGAGGATCCGCCCAACAGCTTTGAAGCTCCTCCAAAAAGGCTGAAGATGGAGGAATCTTGAATGGAGGGGCCAATGTGGCCCTACGTAAAAAGGGATTTCCAAGCAATCTCTGGCCAAGGCTGCCATAATAACTCCCCGCAGCTGACATGGGTCTTCCCTTGGGTCACAGCTACCAGAACTCCTGAGGGAATTTCCTGATCCATCATGACCCTAAAAACTCTGGGGGTCCAACTCCCGACCATGAGTGTCTGGGAAGAGATCTCCTTGCTACCTGAGGCAAAGGAACTCCAAACTAGAGATTCCTTCCTCCTCCAGATACTCCCCCGATTCCCAAGATGCTGCTGCTGCGGCCATTTTAGAAGGAAATACTTGGACAAACAATGACAGTAAAAAGGAAAACAAATGCCATGAATATACTTAAAAAAATAAGCAAGTTCAATCAATAACCCAGAAGTAGTAGCTTTAACCTAAACATATAAATAAATGGAAACTCCAACATAATGCCAAAACAAACGACCCAGGATACTAAGTGAACAATAACAAGTCACAGGCAGGATGATGCTGAACACAACAAACATGTGCTTACCCCTCAGACCTGCAAATGTCGAAAAGTTCTGAATCACGGACTTATAGGAGCGATCAACCTACGAAGCACGGCAAGAAGACAGCGAGAAGATCGAAGAGACCAAACGTAGCCTTCAATGTGCTATTTATAGACACATGTCAGATTGGCTACTTGTCACGTTTGTGACTTGGTTAACATTTTATCTCATCCTGCGCAGAGTGCGAGGAGACATATCCACTTTGTTTACTGCCATTGACAGCCAGCAACGAATGAGACAGAGCTTGGATTTAATCTTGGACACTTTTTCTGCAGCAAGTTAAGTTAGACGTTTGGTTACTTGAAGTAACCAGGCATCTAAGTGAGTATTTCTCCTCTACTACTGCCATAAAGTTTTTAAAGCTGGGCTTGCTGATCACAGATAGTGGGAGGTTGCATGAAATAATAAGGTCCTTTATTATTGGTTCAGTAATAGCGTTATGTCTGGGAAGTCCCTGGCATTAGACTTGCACTCCTTTTGTCAGAAAGGACTTGATGTTGCTCTGTCCCTCTCCACTTGCCAGTTTTTTGAATCTGTAGATCAACATGGATGTTTACTTAGATTAGTACCTATCCTTCTCCAATACCATAGTATTTTAAAGTGTACCAATATCATCTTGTACCCAATGATTATTAATATCTAAACAGCTCAAAGCTTTTTTTTCTTCTCTCTAAGCGTAGAGAATGTGCAAAATATTACCTTAAATTAGCACCCACATTCGATTGTTGAAGTTAAACTCTCAGGTGCTGTATTATTAGTTTAAGGTTGTGGTCCATCTGTTTTATTTTTTATTTACTGCCTGTTTTTATTGTATTTAGCTTTTATTCTGCTTTCTTCTTCTGTTTTTATATAAAGCACTGAATTGACCTTGTACTGAATTGTGCTATACAAATAAGCTGGCCTTTTCTTGCCTTACTTTGACTACCGTATATACCTGTTTGAACTGGATAATATATATGCAGGAAACAAATATATTTGCTTGTTCCCTCCTTATTTAGATCTGGCAAAGGGTGTAACCACTAAAATCACTGCAGTGACATGTTGTGTTCTTCGGAGTGTAAGTCAGTTGCCGTTTTGACTAAATTAGAGACACACATCACTGTTGCTGAGAGGTAAAATGGCTGAGGGAAGAATTCAGCTGGACTTGGGGAAATTCTCGTGTTCCATTTGTTTGGAGCTACTGAAGGATCCAGTGACTATTCCCTGTGGACACAGCTACTGTATGGACTGTATTAAAGTTTACTGGGACAGAGAAGATCAGAGGAGGATTTACAGCTGCCCTCAGTGCAGGAAAGAGTTTAGGCCAAGGCCTGTCTTAACGAAAAGCATTAAACTTTCTGCTTTAGTGGAGGATCTAAAGAAGACTGAACTCCAAGCTGCTCCAGCTGATCACTGCTATGCTGGACCTGAAGATGTGGCCTGTGATGTCTGCACTGGGAGGAAAAGGAAAGCTGTTAAGTCCTGTCTATCCTGTCCTGCTTCCTACTGTGAGGATCACCTCCAACCTCATTATGATGCTCCACCTTTAAAGAAGCACAAGCTGATGGACCCCTCTAAGAAGCTCCAGGAGAACATCTGCTCTCGTCATGATGAGGTGATAAAGATCTTCTGTCGTACTGATCAGCAGTGTATCTGTTATCTCTGCTCAATGGATGAACATAAAGGCCATGAAACAGTCCCAGCTGCAGCAGAAAGGACTGAGAAGCAGAAGAAGCTCCAGGAGAGACGACAACAAATCCAGCAGAGAATCCAGAACCAGGAGAAAGATGTGAAGCTGCTTCAACAGGAGGTGGAGGCCATCAATGGCTCTGCTGAAAAAGCGACAGATGGAAGTGAGAAGATCTTCACTCAGCTGATCCAACTCATCCTGAAAAGAAGCTCTGATGTGAAGCAGCAGATCAGATCCCAGCAGGAAACTGAAGTGAGTCGAGTCAAAGAGCTTCAGAAGAAGCTGGAGCAGGAGATCACTGAGCTGAAGAGGAAAGATGCTGAGCTGGAGAAGCTCTCAATCACAGAGGATCACACCCAGTTTCTCCAGAACTACCCCTCACTGTCAGCACTCAGTGAGTCTACACACTCATCCAGCATCAATATTCGTCCTCTGAGATACTTTGAGGATGTGACAGCAGCTGTGTCAGAGCTCAGAGAGAAACTACAGGACATCCTGAGAGACACATGGACAAACATCTCAGTGGCAGTATCTGATGTGGATGTTTTACTGTCAGAACAAGAACCAAAGACCAGACCTGGATTCCTAAAATATTCACAAAAAATAACTTTGGATCCAAACACAGCACATAGGAAGTTGTTAATATCTGAGGGAAACAGAAAGGTAATGTTAATGGAGCAGAAACAGTCTTATCCTGATCATCCAGAAAGATTTACTGATCCGTTTCAGGTCCTGAGTGGAGAGAGTCTGACTGAACGTTGTTACAGGGAGGTGGAGTGGAGAGGAGTAGTGTGTGTAGCAGTTTCAGCCAAGATTAGCAACAACACAATGAAATCAGAGGAGAGTTTCTTCGGATTCAATGACAAATCCTGGTCTTTACGCTGTGATATAAACGGTCACATGTTGTATCACAAAAGCATACATATTCCAGTATCAGGTCCAGTTTCCTCCAGAATAGGAGTGTTTCTGGATCACAGAGCAGGTATTCTGTCTTTCTACAGCGTCTCTAAAACCATGACTCTCCTCCATAGAGTCCAGACCACATTCACTCAGCCTCTATATGCTGGGATTGGATTTAGCTCTTCCCCAGTTAATGGGTCACCAAACAGATCATCTGCTGAGTTTATTAAACTGAAATAGTCATAAACAAACTGGATGAACAGGTGTCTTTATCTGAGTTTATTTTTTCTTTGTTTTAAGCATATCTACAGTATGCCATCCATCAATCCATTTTCTTACACACTTATCCCAAGTGGGGTTGCAAGGGGTGCTGGTGCCTATCTCCAGCTGTCTACGGGCAAGAGGCAGGGTGCACCCTGGAGAGGGCAACACATACACAAACAGCCATTCACACACCTAAGGGGACTTTAGAGAAGCCAATCAACCTAACAGTCATGTTTTTGGACTGTGGGAGGAAGCTGGAGTACCCAGAGAGAACCCACGCATGCTCAGGGAGAACATACAAACTCCATGCAGAAAGACCCTGGGCTGGGAATCAAACCCAGAACCTTCTTGCTGCAAGGCAGCAGTGCTACCCACTGCTTCACTGAGCAGCCCTGTCTACAGTATGTATGGCTTCAATTATTATCTTCAAATCTCAACAAATTACATTTTTTTTTATTTTGTTAGAGGCAATTGACCAGATCATTAAAATGTGTAACATCCAACAAACTGTGGCTTTACATGTTTTGTTAATTGGAAACCGTTGGAAACTGTAGAAACCCTAAAAATCTGTTCAGGATTTGATTGAATTGTGATGTTAGCTTCTTCTCCTATACTCAGCAAATATCTTTAATGTATTTTTTTGTGTTGCAAAGTTGTATTTCTTTTCATTTCTGCTCTTAGTTTTAAACTGATCCTTAAATCTCTCCTCTGAATGTTAGTGACGCCCTCTAGTGTCTCGTCTTATTCACCATGAACATAACTGCCTCTTTTCTTTAACCAATCACTTTACCTTCATGGTACTTCACTTTTGCTGTTATTTACTTAGTTAAGTTAATTATTTCTTCTTTATCTTGACTGTGTATGAACAGCTCTTAATAAATAAAGGTTTGTTACTCTAACAATGCTTTTCTTTGTCTTATGAAACCATTTTCCTTCTCTTCTCTGTTGATCACCATGGTAATTGATCTGAAAAACCAGCCATGTGTGCTGCAGTTGGCTCCGTGCTTAGGGTTAGGGTTATCGACGCCCATCTTTAGTTGCAAAATATAATTTACTAAGACTATTTATTTACATATTAAATTAGCAAATAATTTAGTCAATAAATTATCCATCCTACATCAACCAAAATCAAAAGTCAGTAAGTTTGTTTTTTAGCCTAAGCGATTCTGAGTTTTCATCACAGAAGCTTTTGCAGTTTGCTTTGTTGCTTACTAGTATCTGCACCTGTCAGGCACAGTATTCTGTCACACCAAATCCTCTCTGCTCTTCCACATTTATATAAAGCTTCTCAGTTGCATTCCTTAATCTCAGAAAATGCTAGTTCTGATCTTGATCCAATCCTTTATCCAATATATTTGCTATACATCCCTCGTGAAATATCTTGGGGTTTATAAAGGGTTAGATTCTTCTCTTAACCCATTGTAATCTGCTCCTCCAGCAGCAGGTGCCAGATCCTCTCCTCCACCTGTATCGCATAAGAGGTCTCATCCTGAACTCAGTCAGGGAGAATGTGAAATGTTTTGGTTTTCTCTTCCTGTGGGCTATTGTTTTGAAGACAATAGTAATGTAGCTGAAAATGCTGCTGACAATTAATCCTTCCTCACAATTCTTAAATCTTTTCAAAGTGACTTTAACTTCTAGAGTATGTAAATGAAGAACTGGTTATTAACAGCTAGTGCAAAATATCTTTTTTTCTGGTATCTGTAATTTTAACTTATAGTGCCTCATTCTGGAAAAAAAAGAGTATCAGGCACTTAGTTTGAAGTCTGGTCTATAAAACAAGGTGATATGAGGTGTTATGAAGGGACACTGTAATGTTTCCCCAGGCCACCAGGGGGCCACCATCTCGGAGGATGCAGGTAGTTTTCCAAGAGTTCTGTACAGAAGTCATTACAGAGTTAGACCAGTAGGCAGGAATTTCAGTTCTGTGTCCTACAATAAAGGTGCTTTCTAATGAAGACGCTGTTATGTTAAAACACTGAATTATAAGCAAAACTATTACAAGACACAGTAAAGCAATTGTATGAATAATATGCCAGCAGGGGCCGGCAGGTATGGCTAATTGTTGGCCATCTTGGATTCAGAAGATATTTACTTGCAGTTACAACGACTGACCACTTAAATGACCTCAATGGAGTGTGGCACAAGAGAGCATTCTTAGTATTAGACAGATTAATTTTGACATTTTGTATACACAAGTGCAAACAAAAAGAAATTTTGTTTAAAACACCTGTAGACAAATTCATTTTTTAAAGTGCATCCTTGAAAACAGTAGTAAATACATAAAAAATGTAATATAAACACATGACTGTATATTTACAGTTCTAATATTCATAGTTGATGTGTCTTGTGACCATAGCATCAAATTCACCAGAGAGGATGCAGAGCACAAACAAACTACCCTTTCTGGACTGTCTGATGAGCATGGAAGGAGACGGAAGCCTAAACATTGAAGTGTTTAGGAAACCTACTCACACAGACCAGTATCTTATTTTTTAATCACACCACCCACTGGAACACAAACTCTCAGTCATCAGAACCGTACAACACCGGGCAGAGCATGTCCCTACTAAAACAGAAGGGAAGGACAAAGAACAGAAACACATCAAAGATGCTCTCCAAAACTGTGGATATCCAAACTGGGCTTTTATCAAATCAGCAAGGAAATCCAAAAGACACGCAACAGAAGATAACGATGAGAAAATTAAACGCAAAAACATCACAATCCCTTATGTTGCTGGAGTGTCTGAAAAGCTCTAGAGGATTTTCTCCAAACACAAGATCCCAGTACATTTCAAGCCAAACCAAACCCTTAAACAGAGGCTAGTGCATCCTAAAGATAAAACCCCACAGACCGAATATGAGCGGAGTGGTATATGCTGTTCAGTGCAGCGAGGAATGCTCTGATCTTTATATTGGAGAAACCAAACACACTCTCCACAGACGCATGGCCCAACACTGAAGAGCGGCCTCCTCTGGACAAGACTCCGCAGTACATCTACACATGGTGGACAAAGGACATTCTTTTGAGGACCAGAATGTTCACATTCTGGATAAAGAAAATAGGTGGTTTGAGAGGGGTGTGAAGGAAGCCATCTATGTTAAGAGAGAAAAACCAACTTTAAACAGAGGTGGTGGACTCAGATTCCAGCTTCCAAAAACTTACAATTCAATCATAGACATGAGCCCTTCCAGATATCACCAAACCCCCCACCCCATCACAGGGGAACGAAGGACCTACCCGCTCCAGCCGGTGAACAATACCTCCTTAACGACCAACCCTTAACAATCATAGACAGGTTTCAGGTATTACAGGAGACAATCCCTGCTGGGTCTGCTTCCCCATTTGTTATCAGCGTCATAGATAATGTTATTTACTCTATATTATTGTCATGATTTTCTTGAGAGATCGCACCCACATGCAGTAAACCACTCAGAGAACCAGGGTAAAAGTTTGAACAGGTTTATTGATAAGGACAGTGGGGGTAGGATTCAGAAAACTCAGTGTGCTGGTGAACCGGAATTGGAAGAGGGAAGGGAAGTAACAGCGGTTAGCTCGGGATCCATGTGAACTTTGAGCGATGACTGGAGAGACAGAGAAAATGGGACTCACGTTGGTTGAGAAGACCTCTTCTCCCAGAATCCAGTTAGTGAGGGTTTATCCAGAGGTTGAGACTCGTTGGAGGGTGGGCAGGTTTAGACTTGGGCCCCGTCCACACGAAGTCAAAACGAACACGAAACGCTAATATTTTCCAGAACGTTTGTCGTAAAGACGGAGACGTAAAATAAATGTGATCGTCCACAGGAATGCATGAAAACGCTGCAAAATGTATGCCAGGCCTGTAAGTGGCGCTGTGGTGCCAAAGCAAAAATAGGCGACGAAATGTTGGGCATGGGTCTATTTTCGTGGTCAAGTCAAATTCAGGTGTTGAACTATGTCGTCGATATTGCTCTGTTCTTCCTGGAGATATTCCAGAAGAAGAAGATTCTGTTGTAAGCCCGACAGCAGGGTGAGTAGCATGAGCAGCAACCGCCGGCTTAGTATGAATGAGAGGCTGGTTTGGTGAAAAATTTATGCGTTTAGGCCAGGGTTTGGCTTCGTGTGGACGGGGCCTTGGTTGGATCCTGAGGAGCTATTGAGCGGACTGTCCCTTGGGAATCCAGGAGGACTTGAACGGAACTTGTGGAGGTTAATCCCCTGCTCAGTGTGAGACTCAAACAATCCTTCCAGGGGAGGAAGGCCTAACATTCAGCTTGCAGGAAGGCTTCCTGCCCAAAGGCAAAGACAAAAACAAGGTTAGGCTCAGCACAAAGACTCAGGGCCGGATCTATCAAAGGTTTGCGTGTATAAAAACGTGAGCTATTTCACTGCGCACGCTAAAAAATGTACAAACTGATCTATCAACAGCGTGCTAAAAGGATTTGGTCTTTAAAACGTGCTAAATAGCGCCTCTTATCCATTTAGTACTTTTTCTGCAATGAATATGCAATATGGGGCATTTACACGCAAAAGTGCGTCTTGTGGGAGGAGAAAATATAAATATATTAATGTAAATATATTAATTCAGCACTCGCAAAGTGATTTATCAAACCTGAAAGCAATTTTGCAGACGGTATCTGACTCTATATTTAACACGTTTCAAAAGAAGGTGCAAATGGTCTGTATGCGTAATTGCGCACACATACCAGCGGTTATAGTCGCAAGAAGGAGACATCGAAATGAAGCAAGGAGACGCAGAGAAAGTATTTTTTCACTCCGTGTGAATATTTTTGGAATGAACGAGGAAATGATCATCAAAACATATAATTTATCCAGCATTGCCATTTTGGAGCTGTTGGGGGAACTCCGAATGGATTTCACTCTTGTTAAATCACCCGCAAACCATGGTTCAGCCCCTCGCGCAAAATTCCAGTTTGTGAGCGCAAATTACAGCACGCAAAATTGGATCTTGATATATCCGGCCCTCAGTAGACTAAGCAAAACTCGGCTTGGCTAGAGTACCGAAAAGTGGCAAACTGGCGTCGAGGTAGTGACAGTCCACAGCTCAAATAGTCCTCAGAAATGAGCCAACCAGCCGCAGGTGTGTGGGAGGACCAATAAGAACAGGGCGCCACCTGGTGGTGGAAGGCGAGAACAAAACAAAAACACAACCAGCACAAACTGGATTCCTAACAATTATGGAGGAAATCTAGTTTTTTGGTGAGTGACCTATATATAACCTATATGTAACCTATATATAACTCACTGATTCAGCTTTTTAATAGCTAATGTAAACTCTGGATTTCCTGTGAAGAACTGATTACCTTTTTTTCAATAAAGAAAAAAAAGTTAAACCCTGTTTGAAGATTGCTTAAAAATCCATGTCAGCTGCCAAATGTAGATGACATGGATGAACACAGATGAAGATTAGAGTGTAGAAACGCCCCAATTTACTGTAAATACCAACAAGGAAAAAAAGAGGTTTAAATGTAACTTCTGGGAAAGAGACAGTCTGAACACATGTGATCTTCCTGCTTTGGAACAAAGTAATTCCGGTCCGTCAACATATTTGTTGGAGGAATGTTACTTAGATCTGAAGGCAGTCTGGTTTTTATTTTATTAAAACGCTGTCATGCTGAGAGGTGAAATGGCTCAGAAAGGAGTTCGGGTAGACGAAGAAAAATACTGTTGTCCCATCTGCTTGGACCTACTAAGTAATCCAGTGACTATTCCTTGTGGACACAGTTACTGTATGGACTGCATTAAAAACCACTGGGATGGAGAAGAACAAAGGAAAATCCACACCTGCCCCCAATGCAGGAAGGTCTTCCTACTGAGACCTGCACTGGAGAAAAACATCATGTTAGCAGATTTAGTGGAGGATCTTAAGAAGACTGGACTCCAAGCTGCTCCAGTTGATCACTGCTATGCTGGACCTGAAGATGTAGCCTGTGATGTCTGCACTGGGAGGAAAAAGAAAGCTGTTAAGTCCTGCGTGGTCTGTTTGGCTTCTTACTGTCAGAATCATCTACAGCCTCACTATGATGCGGCACCATTACAGGAGCATAACCTCATTGCCCCCACTAAGAAGCTCCAGCAAAAAATCTGCTCTTCTCATAAAAAGGTAAAGGAGATCTTCTGTCGTACTGATCAGCAGTGTATCTGTTATCTCTGCACCATGGATGAACATAAAGGCCATGAAACAGTCCCAGCTGCAGCAGAAAGGACTGAGAAGCAGAAGGAGCTCCAGGAGAGACGACAACAAATCCAGCAGAGAATCCAGGACCAGGAGAAAGATATGAAGCTGCTTCAACAGGAGGTGGAGGCCATCAATGGCTCTGCTGATAAAGCAGTGGGGGACAGTGAGAAGATCTACAATGAGCTGATTCATCTCATCCAGAAAAGAAGCTCTGATGTGAAGCAGCAGATCAGATCCCAGCAGGAAACTAAAGTGAGTCGAGTCAAAGAGCTTCAGAAGAAGCTGGAGAAGGAGATCACTGAGCTGAAGAGGAAAGAAGCTGAGCTGGAGAAGCTCTCAATCACAGAGGATCACACCCAGTTTCTCCAGAACTACCCCTCACTGTCAGCACTCAGTGAGTCTACACACTCATCCAGCTTTACTAGATGTCCTCAGGGATATTTTAAGGAAGTGACAGCAGCTGTGTCAGAGCTCAGAGAGAAACTACAGGACATCCTGAGAGACACATGGACAAACATCTCACTGACAGTCGCTGAGGTTGAGGTTCTACTGTCAGAACCAGAACCAAAGACCAGAACAGGATTCCTAAAGTATTCCAAGGAAATCACTCTGGATCCAAACACTGCAAACATGAAGCTGATATTATCTGAGGGGAACAGAAAAGTAGCAAGAATGAACCAACAATCTTATCCTTACCACCCAGATAGATTTACTGATTCCTCTCAGGTCCTGAGTAGAGAGAGTCTGACTGGACGCTGTTACTGGGAGATCGAGTGGAGAGGCAGAGGAGAAGTTGGTGTGTCAGTTTCATACATGAACATCAACAGAGCAGGCAAATCAGTCAACTGTTTATTTGGATTCAATGATAAATCTTGGTCATTATATTGTGACTCAAAGGGTTACCTATTTTGGCACAAAAGAATTAAAACTCCAGTATCAGGTCCAGTTTCCTCCAGAATAGGAGTGTATCTGGATCACAGAGCAGGTATTCTGTCTTATTACAGCGTCTCTAAAACCATGACTCTCCTCCATAGAATCCAGACGTCTTTCACTGAGCCTCTGTATGCTGGGATTGGATTTCATGATGATGGATCTTCTGTTGAGTTTGTTAGGCTGAAATAATCAGAAGTTATCTGAGGTCCAGACAGTTAAAATGTCTATTTTAGTCCCACTTTCTTTCGTCGCCTCATTGACTGTGAGATCTTTTTGTTGTTCAATTTCTTCACTTCTCAAGGACAAAATGTCTTTAGGGAGCTACTAGAGTCGTCCTAGAAACGTTTTATTTAAAATTTCTATTACTAATATTTTATCACTTGTTTGGGTTTAAATTTGAGTCATGTGAGTTTAGGGATAGGTACCAATCTCATGGTCTAATGCACCAGATTTTGGTCCCCATAAGGACATAGTACCCCATGATGTGACTTTGAAAACAGATAAAAGTCCCCACACCGTTGTTAAAACAGGTACCATGGACTGTTTCCCTCACACACACACAAACACACACACACCGTCACAACGATCTTCGGATCCAACACCACTTACAGATACTTGTCGACTATAGCTGTATATAATCTGTAAATATTTTATCTGCTATAATATTGCTTATCATTGTTTATCCTGCATTATAACCCCATTTATATATATATATATATATATATATATATATATATATATATATATATATATATATATATATATATATATATATATATATATATATATATATATATACAGTATATATATATAATCCATATCCTAACTTCCCTGTATACGTCCCTGTAATCTGTATATAGCTTTCATATTCATTCATTGTATGCCTCTTACAATTACTCTCTGTTTATATATACCATTTATAGTCACTACATACATAGTCTATGTGCACATGTAAATAAATATATATATGCTGTATAGCACTTCTCGATAGATGCAAACTACATTACGTTGCTTTGTTCTTGTGACAGTGTAATGACAATAAAGTTGAATTCTACTCTATTTTATTCCTGCATACAAATTCATTTCCTTTGATTTCATCATTTGTTTGTTTTTCTTTTTGGGTGTGTGTGTGTGTGTGTGGGTGGGGGTGGGGGGGGGGGGATGTTTTTCCAGCTGGAAAGTACCACCACTCCTAGCCAAAAAGTTTGATAAAAGTTTAGGGTCGAAAACAGGTTGGCTAGATGTGTAACCTTTGGTAATGAGAAAAATAAAAGTAACTTTGAAAAAATAAAGACTACACCTGATGTTTCCTCTACCATAGATAATTACTAATAAGTACCGAAAGGCACCTATTAGTATAATTGAGTTTTAGGTCATTTGCATACAAACTAACAGCAGCACTGTATGTTTTTTTTTTTTATTATTATTATTCAAAAACCAGCCTTGTTGGGGTGGGGTTCTAGAAAATTGATGGAGTGAATCCAATTGCCTTTGTTGTTTGTCAGCAAGAACTGAGAAACATATGAGACCTCGGTCATAGTGATGAGAGTAGCCAAACACCCCTGGAATAATCAGTCTGACCAATAATGAAAGACAGGAAACAAAAAAGCTGGCTGAAGTGCAGGAATTAGTGGAGTGGAAATAGCCAATTAGGTTACTACTGCTAATTATGTCATTTTTAAAGTGTTAAGCATTTCTCCAACGTAATACCTGAGTTCAGTGAAGAACAAACTGTCATGATTTTCTTAAGAGATCTGACCCACATGCAGTAAACCACTCAGAGAACCAGGGTAAAAGTTTGAACAGGTTTATTGATGAAACCAGCGGGGTTGGATTCAGCAAACGAACCGGAACTAGAAGAGGGAAAAGAAGTATTGGTGGTTAGTTCAGGATCCGTGGGAACTTTGAACAATGACTTGGAGAAACAGAGAAAACGGGACTCACGTTAGTGGAGAAAACTTTCCTCCCAGAATCCAGTCAGTGTGGGTTTTTCCAGTGGTTGAGACTTGTTGGAGGGCGGACAGGTATAGACCTGGTTAGACCCAAAGGAGCCATTGAGCAGACTGTCACTTGGGAATCCAGGAGAACTTGAACGGAACTTGTGGAGGTTTATCCCCTGCTCAGTGTGAGACTCAAAACAATCCTTCCAGGGGGAGAAGGCCAAACATCCAGCTTGCAGGAAGACTTCCTGCCGAAAAGGCAAAGACAAAAGGTAGGTTAGGCTCAGCGAAAAAACAAAGACTAAGTTAGACTCAGCAAAACTCAGCTTGGCTAGAGTACCCAAAACTGGCAAACACTCTGGCGCCGAGGTAGTGACAGTCCATGGCTCAAATAGTCCTCCGTGATTAGTCAACCAGCCGCAGGTGTGTGAGAGGACAAACGAGGACAGGGCACCACCTGGTGGTGGAGGGAGAGAAGACACAAAAACTCAACCCACACAAACTGGATTCCTAACACAAAAATATTCTTAGTTATTTAAACTTTTCTCAATCAACCTCTAAAGAAAAAGGGTTTTCCGTTTTTCATAGATAAACACCGGCTACATATTATTCAAATGTTCTGTGATTACAGTCATTCTGAAAACAATATGCAGATACAGCCATAGTTTTTATGTGCATTCTCTTTAAGGTGTTATGTTTTCTTTTTTTAGAAGATAAAAACTATAACTTATTTCTAGCATGTTTGGACATATGTAGTTTGTGTACTTTGTTGTTTGGGGGGGTGTTGTTGCTTTCTTCTGGATGGACATCATTTCTGTTTCTATATTTTGTTAATTATTTTCTTTGGGGTTCTGTTTTTTGTTTTGTTTTTGTGTCTCTGAACAGATCTTTGGTTTTATTGTTTTTATTTTGAAATTCAGGTCAGTTGTTTGACCCAAATATTATTGATTATGAAATAAAGTAAATAAAAAGATACAACTTAAAGAAGCTCAATTGGAAGAGGAATTTAAGGGAAAGTAATTACACCTCTTAATCTGCCTAAGTATATTAGAGGGAAAGACGAAGTTTCTAATCAAACATGCTGATTCAAGAAGATTCCCTTCTGCTCCAAATATTTGTTAAAATTACGATCTCTCTTGCAACAAATACATTTATTTTGGGATAAATTATTCCACAGGGAAGAAAGCTGTTTTAAGCATCAGAGAAGTTTTCAAACAAAGAAGTTAAAAATGGAGTGAGCAGATTTATATTTGTGAAAAGCATGAGTTGTGGTAATAATTCTAACAGACTATAGCATGTTCATATCTAGTTCTTATATTGAGTACCGGTAATTAAAATTGACATTGATGTTATTAAAGCCTGACAAAGAAAATACAGGATTGAATTCTTCACATTAAAATATTACAATCATAGAGGATTAATACAAATTCATGCTGTTTTATGAAATACTTTTTACGCTTTATGGGAAAGAATCTGTCTCTGCACTAGCTTAGGAGTTTTATATGTAATTACAGTTAAAGATCAACTGCTCAAACCATTTCATGTATACATTATGTAGAACTATAAAATATCTAAACAGCACTGATGTGAAAATATTTGCATTGCTTTATTAGCAAGGGCCTCATTAAAATCTACTGTGTCTTCAGTAATTTATTTGGGAAGTATAGATGCAGGTATGTTGTGATCAGTAAAGGTTGACCCTGAACCAGTGGCACCATCAGGGGTTGGCCATGGGTGGCCACTGCCTGTGCAATGCCCTGGCCCACTCTTAGAGATGGGAAGCACTGAAGTACAAATACTTGGTTACTGTACTCAAGTAGATTTTTCTGATATTTTTACTTTATTTTACTACTTATTTTTATGGCGACTTTTTACTTCTACTCCTTACATTTTTACACAAATATCTGTACTTTCTACTCCTTACATTTTAAAAAATTGGCTCGTTACTTTAGTTTTGAATCATTTCAATGGAGTTACAGTTATTATTTTTCACGTCATCAATACCAAATTCAATCTAATTGGATGGGAATCTACGGTACGTTGCATTTGACGCACCACTACAAGATGAATCGACAGATTCGGCGGTATTCATTCACGGCAAATCATTGCAGCTTGGTGGCGGTGGCGTTAGCATAGTAGTATGGACGACGAGATGATTGAACATGAACACAACGGAGATCTAGTCCTATTGGCAGACATCCATTTAAAATGTAGGCAACGGCATGAAAAAAGTGGTTTCTACTTTTACTTTTATACTTTAAGTAAATTTACAAGCCTGTACTTTGTTACTTTTACTTGAGTAAAGAAGTTTAATCAGTACTTCCACTTTTACCAGTGTATTTTCTAACACAAGTATCTGTACTTTTACTCAAGTACGGAAAGTGAGTACTTTTGCCATCTCTGCCCACTCTCTAGTATAAATTGAAGTAACATCAGTTTAGCATTTCATCCCATTATCCACATTAAAAATAACACAATTAACCAAGATATAAGAAGGTTTTTACTTTAGTCGTTATGATTTTTACAGGCAGGTTTACAACAATAGATTTTATGGCTTTTAGTTTCAGTGAGTCACCCCAAGATTTTTAGTGGCTCCATCTGGCCGTCCCGACGAAACATTTCTGGAGGCGCCACTGACTGAACTGGTTTTGATGCCCATTAGATTTTTGCCTCAGTGCTAATTGGTCCCTCCCTGGCAACCGCTGGGATAATTTCCTGGAACAGCCACTGCTTATAGTAAACACTGGCAGAGCGTTTTGAAGAGTCAGCAGCAATGACGCTGCAGAGCTGAGTCAGACCAGTATTTCTTTTAGGTGTTTTTTTTTACTTTCTGTTTTGACTGGTGATAAAATATGCAGCCAAAGAGCCAAGTGTAGCTTTCCTTTCAGTTTCACTCTTTGTTAAATGATTTACTATGCAAATGTTTATCGAGAAATTTCATGCTTTTGTTTAAAGCATAATGACATCATTTCGGCTACTATTATCTGTTTCCCACTAAAAGTTCTAGAATTAAAATCTCCACGATTTTTTTTTTTACTTGGGTCATTGGAATCCTGAGTAATTCATCATTCTGCAAACAAATTACTACATATTTATTTATTTTAAGGAAATCCCTTTAATATACATCTGCTTGACTTCTGAATAATTATATATATTTTTTATTTGATCATATTTTGGATCTGTTTCATATGATTAAACCCACTAACTGAATAAGAGAAAAGAAAATCTCCTTGTTTAACAAAAATAAAACATTACTACCTTCATTTTTGGTTGCAGTGAACAATTAATGGCAAACAGGCGTCATAGCAATGATAACTAACTCACTACAGCACTCATTACCCTGCTTTTATCTTTGAAACTGAAGAAAAGTAAAATACACAAATATTTTTATATACAGTATTAATACCTGCACTATCAAACACTGGATATTCGTAGATGTGTTTTACATTTTTTTTTAGAAAATAAAGTTAAACAAAAAAGTAAACCCCAGTGAAAAGAGAGTTAATATATATATTAGAGGCTTTATATGTATTTGTTGGTTTAATTAATTTGATAATCTTTAGTGAAGTTAATTAAAAAGTTGAATGTTCATATGAAAAAACATTTAAGAAATGAAAGCTATTGCATCCATACATAGCTGTGGATTGCTTGTAGGTTAAATACATTCTTTTTTTTATACTTCTTTATATAAAAAAAAAAACAATTGAGAATCCAAATGATGTGCAATATAAATAAGTGTGTAATAGGACCAGAATTGTGCAATTAGAACAATACCCAATAAATAACGTACCTTCTAGACCTTTGCTGCTTTCAAATTCTCTAATATAATATATATATCTTTTCTATTCTATTCAGGCAGACACTAATGGTGTATTACTTAAAAACTGAGAGCAAAGGAAAAACTGTATGACTGACCTCAATAAAAGAACTCATTATATATTTAGATGAGAATATCCTCCAGTGGAACTGGTTTCCTGCCTTCAGGTTTTGATGATGGGTGGAACCATTAGCTTCAACTTAAGCATTGCTGCTAGGAAATGAATCTATCATTATTGAAAGTAAGATCACACAGGGAGGAGATGTGCTGCAGTGACAGCAGATACATCTCATCCAGCTTAAAGTTATGAAAATAAACAATAAAAATGATTTATCTGATCATCCTTTAGTAACAGTTTCTGTAGAAAGCCATAATAAGGAGTAAAGAGGTATTGAAGCTTCACCTGGTGGAAGATATATGACACAGAACTTATTCAGGGGAGAAAATTCTATAAATAAAACTATAAAACAGGCAGACACCATTCATATTGCTTCCTTGTTCCCTCCCTCTTTGTTTGCATACATAATAATGGGTGGAACCAAAGACCAAACAAACCTGCTTTTTAAAGCCGAGCCAAAAACAATTTGCTTGTATGTAGAAGGAAGTCCAACTAAGAGCTGAAATGGAGCCGAGAGGAGATCTGCTGGACCAAGGTAACCTCTCTTGTTCCATCTGTTTGGATCTACTGAAGGAACCTGTGACTATTCCCTGTGGACACAGCTACTGTATGAACTGTATCAAAGTCTCTTGGAGACAAGAAGATCAGAGGAGGATCCACAGCTGCCCACAGTGCAGGAAAACTTGGAGGCAAAGGCCTGTTCTGAAAAAAAATATCACATTATCGGCTTTAGTGGAGAGTCTAAGGAACTCTGCTCCAGCTGATCACTGCTATGCTGGACCTGAAGATGTGGCCTGTGACGTCTGCACTGGGAGGAAAAGGAAAGCTGTGAAGTCCTGTTTATTCTGTCCTGCTTCCTACTGTGAGGATCATCTCCAACCTCATTATGATGCTCCGCCATTAAAGAAGCACAAGCTGGTTACTCCCTCTAAAACTCTTCAGGAGAACATCTGCTCTCGTCATGATGAGGTGATGAAGATCTTCTGTCGTACTGATCAGCAGTGTATCTGTTATCTCTGCTCAATGGATGAACATAAAGGCCATGAAACAGTCCCAGCTGCAGCAGAAAGGACTGAGAAGCAGAAGGAGCTCCAGGAGAGACGACAACAAATCCAGCAGAGAATCCAGGACCAGGAGAAAGATGTGAAGCTGCTTCAACAGGAGGTGGAGGCCATCAATGCCTCTGCCGATAAAGCAGTGGAGGACAGTGAGAAGATCCTTGGTTCAGTGATCCGTCTCATCCAGAAAAGAAGCTCTGATGTAAAGCAGCAGATCAGATCCCAGCAGGAAACTGAAGTGAGTCGAGTCAAAGAGCTTCAGAAGAAGCTGGAGCAGGAGATCACTGAGCTGAAGAGGAAAGATGCTGAGCTGGAGAAGCTCTCAATCACAGAGGATCACACCCAGTTTCTCCAGAACTACCCCTCACTGTCAGCACTCAGTGAGTCTACACACTCATCCAGCATCCATTTATGGCCAATTAAAGATGCATCAGAGGGACCACAGGAGATGCTAAGAGACACATGGAAAAAGATCTCACTGAAGGTCACTGGACTTGGTATTTTACTGTCAGAACTTTGGACCAGAGCTGAGTTTTTAGGATATTCCAAAGATATCACTTTGGATCCAAACACAGCAAACAGGTATATCTTGCTATCTAAGAAGAACAGAAAAGTAACATTAAAGGTGGGGTATGTGATGTTTTCTGGAGCATGTTTTTACCATACTGATTGAAAACCTCCTCACCAGCCCATTGCGCCAACTGAGATAGAATGTTTGGAAAAAAAACGAAATCTTTTAGTCCAGTGTAGAGGGCGTAGTCAGAGGAAAACGCAAACCAATAGAAGTAACTATCATCCCTACTTCTACTGGTTTCTGGCACGCCCATCAACCGTCAGCTCTGAGCTCTCCCCACCCCTCCCCCCTGCGCGTTCACAGACTCGTGACACCCCCCATTCATTCTTTTCCTGCTTTGTGTGTCAACTTACACGGTTGCTAAGCAACAGAGCATACGCCGGTAAAACCCGCTGAAGGGAGGACCTGTTCGAATTTACAGACAGAACTCTTCTGGTCTCCTTATTTTCAAGGACTTCGAAGGGTCCAGTCTAGGTAGACCGCGTCCTTGGAGGATGCAGCCCAGGTTTTTGAACAGAGCCTCTGATTAAGAACAGGGCTGCCCGCACGCGGCTCAGGGATTACGTCACACGGAGCGTCGTGCGCAGTGAAATCAGGACATTTCCTCACTTTCTAAAAAAAACCCGGGACGCCCGGGACAGGACGTGAAATACGGATATGTCCCGGGAAATACGGACGTTTGGTCACCCTAATCAATACTTCTTGAAATGACAACCGTGACAACTTGTTTACGACCATATTGAATTGTTCAACACTCTTACCGTACTAGGAGAAGACGACGCCATCATGGAAGTTAGCCTGTTATGTTGTGGTTAGCTAGTAATAGACATGAGCTTCTCGCCTCATCCCGAGTCACGTGCACTCGCGAGGTCTCGGCCTGTTTCGTTCTCGTTCTCGGGAACATCCGAACATTCTCGACTGACAGCAGGCGCGTTCATGTAATTTGGAGGCGTGGTTTCGTGGGGTGGGCTGAAGGTGTGTATTTTCAAAAATGTAGCTGGCAGGAACCGTTTATCCAGGATCATATACCCCACCTTTAATGGAGCAGCTACAGTTCTATCCAGATCATCCAGACAGATTTGCTCGATGGTGGCAAGTACTGAGTAGAAACCGTCTGACTGGACGTTGTTACTGGGAGGTGGAGTGGATCGGGGAAGCAGTTTATGTTGCAGTTGCATACAAGAACATCAGCAGAAAAGGAACGTCCCAGGATTGTGTTTTTGGATTCAACAACAAGTCCTGGGCTTTACAATGTGAGGAAGGATCCTACACTTTTTGGCACAACAGTGTTAAAACTCCAGTATCAGGTCCAGTTTCCTCCAGAATAGGAGTGTATCTGGATCACAGAGCAGGTATTCTGTCTTTCTACAGCGTCTCTGGAACCATGACTCTCCTCCATAGAGTCCAGACCACATTCACTCAGCCTCTATATGCTGGAGTTTGGCTTTCTGATGACGGAGACTCTGCTGAGTTTGTTAAACTAAAACAGTTAGGCTAAACCTGAGGTCCAGTTATAAAGAATTTGCATTAATTTCCAGTTACTTTATTCCAGGTCTTTTCCATCATTTCAGCTTAGAGGTTATTGTTATCACTTCCACACTGGTCAGGATCAGCTGTGTACTTTTATCATGTTTGTTGTTTTGTTGATAGAATAGTTAAATATAAAGCATTATGGGAGGAATGTTTATGTCTATGAAGCTGTTGTGATGTTTTTGGATGCTTGTTCATGTTTATGGAAATTATGTCATAAGTGAGTGATCTTTTTCATACCCCCATAACCAATCCATTACCAGTTATAATAACCTTTAAACTGTCTAGCTTAATGAGTTTGATGTGTACAGATCCTGTCAGTGATATATATTATGAAGCGATAATAGTTCAAACCATTATTTTTCATGCCATGAACACTGATTTAGTTCTTGCCATTAGTTCTTGCCTGGTGACATCAGATTAACTTAATACTAAAACTGAAGATATGTTATTTTTGTATGGCTTCCTATCTATAAAGGATGTTATTTATTTGCCTTAACTGTTACATTCTTTAATAAATTTTTTATGAGGCTGATCCAGTCCTTGAACCTACTTTGTCAGACAATTCTTAAATTTGGTTCAATTCAGTTAATTTATATAGTGTCAATTCACAACACGTCATCTCAAGATACTTTACAGAGACAATACAGTCAGATTGATTTACAGTTTCTTTTATGGGAAACCAGTTTATTCTTTACACTCATTGACTTGCAAGAGATGCTTCTCCAGGATGAGCTTACAGCAGTGATTTTCGCTTGCATTTTGTCATTTGGCTCTTCAGCAACCTTTCCCATCGAGCACCAATATAGTGACTGTGGAGAGGAAAAACTCGTTTTTAACAGAAGGAAACGTCCAGCAGAAACAGGCTCACTGTGGGCGGCCATCTGCCGAGGCCAAATGGGGTTCAAGGAGTAAGAGGCAGACATAGAAAAAGAATTAGAGATACAAAAGGTAACTATAAACCAGTTCCACAGGTGGCCCTGTCCAGGAAACATACAGCCAGGCAGATGTGCTCTTAGTCAGCTCTCATGTCAGAGGATGAAAGAGAGCACATCCACTTAGTCACAGGCAGAAGAACAGGACTACATTAAAAGTAAGGCCAAGGTCCTACATCAATAAATAAAGATGTTGATAGCAACAGAAGAGCTGATATTTCTCTCCAGGACAGAGGCTGAACTAATAAATACAGCACAATGCGAGAAAAGAGATAATGAAGCAGAATGATGAAAAGTGGTCCCTGTGTCATCCAGCAGCCTAATCATATAGCAGCAAAAATACAGAAAATAGCTCAGTGTCATGATCGGTTTGACAAATCTGACCCACATGCAGAGATACCACTCAGAGAACACGGGAAAAGTTTAACCGGTTTATTGAGGTAGAGTACAGGGGTTGGATCTGGAACTCAGTGAGCTGGTGAACGGCAAGTTTGAGGGGGCCTTGTTAGTCCTTGAATCCAGTCTGAACACGTTGGAGGGCGGACAGGTAGACAAACGTTGGAACCGGAGGAGTAATGGAGCGGACTGTCACTCGGATTTCCGATGGGAACTTGAACGGATCATTTGGAGGTTTTCCCCTGCTCAGTGTGAACTCAGCTTTTCCTTCCAGGGAGTGAAGGACCAGGTATCCAGTTAAACAGGAAGTCTTCCTGCCGAAGAAACAAAGACAAAAGTACATAAGTCTCAGAGAAACAACGAGTCTAACGGCTAGGTTAGACTCAGCTAATCTCAGCTTGGCTAGAGTACCCAAAACTGGCAAACAGTCTGGCGTCGAGGTAGTGACAGCCCACTGCTCATATACTCCTCCAGATAATGGCCCAATGAGCCGCAGGTGTGCAGGGAGGCCCAACGAAGACAGGGCACCTCCTGGTGGTGGAGAAAATTAAACACACAAACAGACCACAAAAACTGGATTCCTAACACTCAGGATAGCTGGCTTGTTTGGATAAAGTCTGACAAAGCTAGATTTACCGTAGAGCCAAGGAGACACGTCTGTCAGGGAATGAAATTCTCCTCCACTAAATCGGGGTGTTAACGCTCGACCTCCATCTACTTCTCTAGTGACACTGCGACTAAGCAAATATTCTTATGTTTCTAACTACAAGGTAGTGTTTTAAAGCTTACACTTAAAGGTAAACGGAGTGCCTGCCACACGGACTAAAATCCATATCTCACACACTAATATTCAGTTAAAAACATCCTAAATAATGGTTTATAGACTAGCAGAACAATTTTAAAGTCTATATTCTCTAAAAGACAGTGAGCCAGTGTGAACCTTAGAACTGGGGTTATGTTTTTCCATTTTCCATTACAGTTCCAGTCAGGATGGGAAAGCACCTGTAACACAAGATTAAAAACCACCTAACTCACCTCCTATCTGATTTACATCAGGTGGTTTTTTGTTCTTTTGTTCAGGTACTGTTATGTGTGCCAAACGATTACCAATTGTAGTTTCACTTTCATTTGAACTCCTAAAATATACTTTACTTTGTTTTTTTTTTATCCAGAAATAATAGTCCCTTGTTTTAATATGAATGGTAAGGAAATAGTTTTAAAAAATGGATCATGGGTGGAAGTTCAACTGAATAAACTGATTACTCGCCTTCATCCGCCTATGACACAGCCAATCAGCTTTGAACCACACCTCCACGAAAGCCAATCAGGATCCAAAGTTCATCTTAAAGGAATAGTACACCCAAAACATGATTAGCCTTCATTTTCTACTCACCCCCATGCTGAACAACACTCTGGAGTACTTTTTTGATATCTCAAATGCATCTGGAGATCTGGGAGGCTTCTTGCTGTCTGCTGACATTCAAATAATGGAGGTCTATGGTGCCCGAGGCAGAAAGGTCCATAAAAGTCCACAAAAACTTGTCAATATTCCTCCATACTGCTCGTCCAATGTATTCCAAGTGTTCTGAGTGGGTAGCCTCCATAATTTACTCGAAACGAAGTCATTTAGAATGTTTTTAGAGCATAAACAGTAGTGTATAGGATTTCCTAAAAGCGCGTTCACGAGTCTACGGAAACCGCGGCAGACCAAACCAGATGAAAGTGCGCATTCAGCGTCTGCTCTGCCAATAATGCAAGCGTAGAAGAAGAAATGTGCTGTTTACCTGTGCAAAGAAAGAAACAACGGAAGAAAAATGTCTGAGGACTTCAGTGTTGAGGAAGAGCTTGAGTTCTTTGCCGAGCTGAATGCGCACTTTCATCTGGTTTGGTCTGCCGCGGTTTCCGTAGACTCGTGAACGCGCTTTCAGGAAATCCTATACACTACTGTTTATGCTCTAAAAACATTCTAAATGACTTTGTTTCGAGTAAATTCTGGATGCTACCCACTCAGGACACTTGGAATACATTGGACGAGCAGTATGGAGGAATATTGACACGTTTTTTGTGGACTTTTATGGACCTTTCTGCCTCGGGCGCCATAGACCTCCATTATTTGAATGTCAGCAGACAGCAAGAAGCCTCCCAGATCTCCAGATGCATTTGAGATATCAAAAAAGTACTCCAGAGTGTTGTTCAGCATGGGGGTGAGTAGAAAATGAAGGCTAATCATGTTTTGGGTGTACTATTCCTTTAAAAGGCCTCCGATCCACAACTCGTCTGCTACCTGGTACGCAGGCGGTGGTTGTGCCGTGTGACTTCATTCGGATGACCCCGTTTCAACCAACCTCCAGCCCCTCCTCCACCATCGTAGCTAAAACTTCATCAGAGGTTCATTCCTCTCTGACTCTTACTGTGTTCCGATCTCATTTCAACCGGTCTGGCAGAAGACCGCCATGTTGAGCCTGGTTCTGCCGGAGGTTTCTTCCCACTGTCGCTTCATGCTTGCTCATCATGGACAGGTTCTATTACTGATACTATTAGTGATTTCTTTGGGGCGCCAGAAAGTGAATATGAAGCCTTTAGCACCAGAATATAAAATGCAAGATTTTTTACCATAAATGTTTGACCTTTTTAGTATGAAATGTTTCACCAAAATTCTGAAAAAAAATTTTCAATGGAGTACCATCTCATGATCAAACAAAGCTGTTTCCTTTTTCCTGGTACATAAAAATAATATACATTTTCCTTAACACAGGCTTTTCATGTAAACTTTCCATACTGAGGAATTAACTTATTAGTTTCCATGTTTCAATGTTTCATGCAGAAAGCTTTGCAAGACAAGAGACCACAGTTAACAAGCAGTTTTCCAAAAGCTTCCAGTAGTTCTCTTCACCCATGTGCACGCCCATCGCCAGCTTTTACTTCTCTAAATATTTGCTTACGATTTGACTGTCAAGGTATCCTGTCCGGGTTCCTCTATATTAATTGTATGCTTTTTGATTTATTTTCTTATTGTGATAAGGTGTTATCATGAAAGTTTTTCAGCTTTTGGTCTTGATATTTGACATGAGTTTAGCTGTTTACTGTAATAATAAAAGAAAATAATACTTTGGTGCAGTTTTCTTGTCAACTTCCCCATACGTCATAAGGTTGATCTAAATACAGTTGTCAATAACCTTTCTGTGGAGGCCGCAGCATCAGAATTCCCCAAGGATTCCTTTAGGCTGGGTCAATGAAATCTTGGGACTTTTGCTGGAAAAGGGACTTAGGTTTGAATAATTAAATGTTAATGAAAAATCTAAAGTGAAAACATTTCTCATCTTTCCTGTTTGGATGAACACAATGTGCACAAGTCCATACTGCAATGTTACCTAAAGCGAAACAGGCTAACTTTTTGATTGCAATCAGCATTTTTTTCTTTTTCACTACTATTTTCTTGGCCTTGACACGTTAAAGTCGTAGGGAAACGACTGTTCCAACCGTTGCTTTTCCGAATTCTCCCAAGCAGTGCCCGACGTATGAATCAAGATGCTATGACTGAAAAAATTGATTGACAGATGACGTTGATATATGATTGGCCGAACTTAGGTGTACAGGCTGACGTATGACTAACTGGCTGCATAAACAAAGGAATTTTAAGATTTGAAGACAGGATTTAAAAAAAAATGTAAATTTTCTAACTTTTGGGACAATATGGTCTGATTAAGAGTACATTTATATACATGTTTAAGCCAGCATGATTTGACATTTAAAGATGACTTCCCTACAATTTTAAATAGATAAAAAAAAAAAAACAGACCTCTGCCTTCAGCAGTGAGGATTGAGCCCAAGATGAGTGATAATGACTTTACAACTTTTTAAAGTTTTTTCACACAGTGGGAGATTTGAAGAAAAGACATAGAGAGAATGTGAAAATG